CCAAGGAGTCGGACTCCACAGCCCCAGTCTTAAGTGCTGTGTCAGGCCACTTGGGCACGGCACCTTACCCCCAAGTCAGGAGGGAGACAGGAAGGGTTCTTGCTGTCTGTGGTGAGCCTGGACTGGGAGGCCTGTCTTAGAAAATGTGTGGGTGTCCAATATCTGAAAATTTCTGCAAATTGGTTCAGCTTTTGAACTTATGCAGAGTGGGAAAGCATCTTGTGGATGTTCCTTTGAAAGATCAAAACCCTTTGTGTAAACTATGGGTTTCTTAAAGAAGAGAATATTTACATCTGGTTCATTTCCCCCCTTTCTTTTCTTTTTAAATTAATAAACTATTTTTAGACAGTTTTATGTTCACAAAAAAACTGAGCAGGAAGTGAAGATTTTTAGCATCCTCTGTCCCCACACGTGCACAGGAGTTGTACGCTTGTTAAGATGAGTGGCCTACACTGGCATACTGTCATCACCCAGAGCCTGTTAGCATTCACTCTTGGGAGGTGCATTCCACGGGTTTGAGCAAATGTATAAGTGTGGTGTCCACAATTACATATCACACAGAATAGTTTTACTGTCCTACAACTCCTCTGGGATGAACTAATTCACCCTCCTCTGCTTACCTTTTGGTTATCACTAATCTTCTTACTGCTTTTCCCAGAATGTCATGTACTCGAGATTACACAGTCCATAGCCTTTTTGGATTGGTTTCTTTCACTTGGTGCTATACACTTCAGTTTCCTCCACATCTTCATTTCCTCTCTCTCTCTCTCTCTCTCTCTCTCTCTCTCTCTCTCTCTCTCTCTCTCACCAGGAATCCAACTCTTCTATGTGGCAGGCAAGCACTGTGCCACTGAGCTACATCCCTGGCTCTTTTCCTGTCTTTTTTGGCACTGAATAATATTCCATTATCTGAATTTACCACAGTTTGCTTACCCGTTCAACTATTGAATGTCGTCTTGGCTTCAGTTTTGGCAGTTACAAATAAAGCTGCTGTGAAACATCCATGCACAGGTTTTGGTGTGGCTATACATTTTCAAATCCTTTAAGTAAATCCCAGGGAGCGTGATTGCTGGATCACTTGGTCAGAGTGTGCTTAGTTTTGTGAGAAACCCCACAGGAGGCTTACAAAGTGTTTGAACATCTTACGTCCCTATGGGCAGTGATGAGAATTCTTGTTTCATATCCTCGTCAGAGCTTAAGGTCACAACTTTGGTTGTGATTAATAAGTGTGAAGTAAGTGGTTCTACTCTTTTTTTCTGTCTCTCTTTTCTTTAATGTTTTCACTTACACTTAGCAGCACTGACCAATGTTTGGTATGTGTTTATATTTTGAATATTATATTTTTGTTGTGGCTATGTTCTTTAATACCTTTCTGTACCTTTTCCTTACTAATTCTCTCAGTTAAATAAAATGGTGAAAGAGGGAACCAAACCAAACCACATCTTCATTAACAATGATGTTGACATGTATTTATGCTTTTTGAACTATGTATTTGTGCTTTTTGGTGCTGGGAGTTGGTCCAGGGCCTTACGAAAGTTAAGCACGTGCTCTACCATGGGTGTTGCCAAGTATAAATTGTACACATTACGGGGCTAACATGCTATTTCGATACATGTGTACCCTGAGGAGAGGCCGCGGTAGCTATTTAGCGTATGTGTCACCTCATCTGCTCATCACTTTTTTTGATGTGTGTGTGGTCAGAATTAAACTCTACTCTCATCAATTTTTCTAGCCTTTGCCACTTCTTTGTTTTTTCTCCATGTCTTTCCTAGATCATCTCAAAGCTTGATGAGCCACATCCGAAATCCCTACGCGGGCTGCAGCCCAGCTCTCTTTGTCCAGGGATGAAGGTATCTTGACAAGATGCAGACCAGGGACCTCAGGTGACCAGTATCGGGACCTGGCATCCATCTGTCAGAGCCAGTCCCTAAGGTCACATACACAGAGGAAGCCCCCACTCCATGCTTCCCACTGGCAATCATGTGTAACTGACCCTAGTGTCAGACAGCCTTGCCCCCTCCTGCCCATAGGACCTCGGGAAAGTCATTGCTCCACAAGCCTCAGTTTCCTCACCTGTGAAATGGGACATCCCAGTTTGCCAGGTTACTGTGAATGTAAGGACCAGAGTGAATGAGAGAGTGAATGGAAGGGTAGAACAAGGTGTGTAATGAAGAGAGAACTCAGGCTTGTTTCTACTGTGCTCATTTATTCGTTGTCCAAGGCCAGAATGTGGAAGAAGACTCTGTCCTCCTCCTTTGACCAGGCCTCTGCTGGGAGGGCATGGGGTGAAGCCTGACTCAGCATGGCACAGCTCCCCACAGGAAGGTATGGGCAGGACATGACAGGGTCAGTCTGCTGAGGTCTCAAGCCTGCAGTAGAGCTTTGCTGGCTCCTGGCTCCTTCCTCATGGCGCCAAGTGTGGGAGAGTGTAGGCCCTTCCCTTTCCTGCTGCACCCACTGCACAGAGGTCCCCCAGCCCCATGGTGGAAAACCTATAGGCTTGTCGCTCAGGCCTGGTGCCCGTGGGGCTTGGAAGGTGCAGGGAGCGGGGGAGCATCTGCTTCAGCTTCCTGCAGTGTCTTCTGGGAATGTGTATGGCGGGCTGAAAGACTGCCTCCTAGACAGACCCTGCTGACTTGGGCAGGGTGGGGGAGGATATGGTGTCGGCAGTGTCAGCTTCTAGGGACAGGGCTGGAGTGGGACACCCAGAGGCTGACCTTTCACTCTCCCTGCTGCGTCCTACTCCAGGTTCTGGCCCAGTTTCCTCCACATACACAACTGATCTGAAGGCCCCTTTCTGGGACTGTCATATGTTCTACTCACAGTCCCCAAGAATTTAAGTCACCAAGGAAGAGTTAACATAGCCTGGTACACGGTTGCTACAAGGACCCTGGGGCCTGGCAGTGGAGGACACTTGTTAATTCTTTTGGGCTTCAGGTGTTGGGGCCTCTGCAAATGAGCCCTAAAGGTCACTGGTGTGGCTGTCAAGACCATGCAGGCCATGTGGGGTTCTGTAAGGGCTGCAGGCTTGGTGCAAAGAGGTGGGAATTCTGAGGCCACACTCCTGCCACTGTGCTTTGAGGACTAGAGACACTGGCTCACTCAGACTGGGTCAGTTCCCTTCCTGATCTCAGTGGTGACAGCATCCTGCCAGGCCACACGCCATGTGTCTGTGAGTCTGTGCAGACACAGCCCTGTGTGACTAAGCATCAGAGCTGACCCAGTGGCCTGGGGCCACCCAACCAGCTGCTCCGCACTCTGAAGCCCCGTGTCTGAGCACGTCGCAGAGTTCATGTGTTGCCCCAGCAGTGTCACCATGCGTGGAACGTGCTGAAGTGGCTTTTCTTTTGTAGGTACCTCTATCTTTGCAGGTCCATTTCATGTATTCTGTCTGCCTCGAACCCATCATTCCCCTGCATTAGGGGCCCTTCCCACCTTGGCTGGTCCTTAGCACTTGCCTGGTGGGGTATGGTTCCTGCCTGTGTTGGTCTCCCCTGAGTCCCTGCTCCCATGTGGGCTCTCCTGCTGTCCTGCAGTCACTGGAACTGCACAGGGCTGCTGCTCCCACGTGTTAGGGGTGGACTCTTTCATGAAGCAGCACCTCCTTTTCTGCTGGGTGACCTCTTGCTGCTGCTTAGAGCAGAGGGATGTTTCTCTTATTCCTTGGTGGGCACAGTGTAGGCCTGTGGGTGAGAGACAAGGGACATTTTAGCTGGCTACCTCCTGGTCTCTGAGAAAAAGCACCAATACAGGGAACCGGAAACTCCAATCATGCAGCAGGCAGGGTTCACACACACTGGGAGCCAGCTGGGAGGTGAGAGGGGTGGGTCAGGGAATTACGGAGGGAGATCATGCTTCCCTGAGGGTTGGCTGTGATGGTATTTCAGGATGACACTTGAATTGTGAGTGGGAATTCTAGGCTCTCGCTAACTTAAGTTGTCAAAACAGCCCCATTCTTTACCAGACCCAAAAGCCTGCTCTGCCTTGTCCAAGCCACATGTCCTGCTGTCCTGTGGCCTGCATCTGACTGTCTCCCCAGCTCTGGTGGGTTGTGGTGAGGATCAAGGGGCTTGCTTCCTGGAAGCAGCTGGGGAAGGTCCCTGCTGCCTCAGCCAACAGCACTGGCATTGTCAGCAGAGACTTCCACTCATCCCTACCATGGCTTGCTCACATCATGCCTGGGGGAACAGGTGTGCAGTTCCTGAGTCAAGCCTCTCTCCACCCATTTTTTTTTTTTGTCTTTTTCATTTTTATCGGTACCGGGGATCGAACTCACAACCGCCTGCTTACAAGGCAGGTGCTTATGCCGCTGAGCTAAATCCCCAGCCCCTACTCCACCCATTTTTTTAGTGGTGGCCTGGGCTGTGGGAGGGAGAGCACACAGTCTTCTCGGCTGTAGCCTTGGAGAAAGGAATCCTGGACAGTTGCTGGAAAAATAAGTCGGCATGACAAAAACAATCCTAGGTTATAGATGTTGTTGCGTTTGTCCTGCGCTCAGGACCTTGTTCCAGCTGTTTATATTCACTGTCTCACTTAAGTCCTTGAGTAACTTCGCAAGGAGGGTTGTATACCTCTTACTGAAGGAAATGAAGGCTTAGGAGAAGTGACTGTCTGAGTGTCTCTGATGCTAAGGTCAATGGGACACGATTGCTGGTGGGAAGCACTGAGCGGGGGGCTTCCTCTGTGTCTGAGGGACCTGGTCTTGGGGACTGGCTTTGAATGATGGATGCCAAGTCTTGGGGCCAACCATGCTATGGTCAACCAGGCCAGTCCTTGGCTGGGCTTTTTTTCCAAGCAGTCAGGGTGGAGTGCTTGGCTGTTTATGAAGCCTTCCCACCTTCATGATCTGACTCCTATGGCATCTTTGGGAAGTAAAGTCTGTATTGAGTCCCATTTCCCAGCTGCAGAAACTGAGGCTTTCGATGGGAAGAACCTGTTGAGTATCAAATACAAGAGAGGGAAGAGCTGGAGCCAGAACTTCAGCCTGTGCTATAGCAGTGCCTTCTCCCCTGTGGGGTAAGGCTCCTGAGTGGGTGTGGGGTGACTCACACAGGGCACGTGGGTGGTAGGCGAGGCTTGCCTGGCGCCAAGGGCAGGTAGCCCAGCCAGTTCTGCCTCTGCTGCCTCATTCCAGTCTTCAGACATCCCCAAGCCTGCAATGAAAGCCTCTCACCACCTCAGCCACTGTCCCATTGGGGGGCCTTGGGCTCCAGACATGCGGTGATATCAGAGCAAGGGCTGCCGCATCACTCTGTACCTCAGCAGGTGAGTCTTTGCTGCACGGGGCAGCCAGTACCATCCATGGCCCCTAGGGAGCCCAGAGCATAGACTTTGAGCTCTCTAGGCCTTGGCTGATCTTTGTCCATAAGCTTCCAGGAAGGTTGGGAGAGAGCTGGGTTCCGGCAGGGGGAAAAAGGCATGAACTCTTGGCTGTCGGGCTGTGAGAGCTCAGGCTCTGATGAAGACAGGGACACTCCCCAAGTCTGGAATCCTTCCTTGAGAAGGCAAAAGTCTCATGGCTGCTCAGGGCAGAGTTGGGGGTGCTGTCTCCCTCAGTAGGATTGGAGATGTCTCTGTGGCATGAGTGTCACAGGATTTGGGACTCTGTGAGATGGCTCGGTGCTGGAGAGATATGGGCCCTAGGCACCTGTGGCAGCAACCGCAGGGTGTCCCTGTGGTCCTCTCGGTGCCTGTGGTCTTTACCACTTCAATAGCATGAGAGGCCGTTTCACACAGCACGAGGGCTTGGGAAGCGTGACATTTGACTCGCTGGGAGTGGAGACTGACCCCGGAGCGAGGGAGGGCAGGGCAGCTGAGAGTCCAGCAGGTGAGAACGCAGGTTTTACGGGATGATTCAGGAGCTAATTATAGCTGCTGTAGTCCTGAGCCGGGCTTTTCTGGCCCTCTTCTGCTCTGGCTACCCAGGATGGCCCACGATCCCAGGCAGGGAAAATGGAGCAGCTAGTGGCATGGGCTGGGACTAAGGAGTCCTTAAAGACCGCTCAGCCCATTACTCAGGAGACAAACCCGAGGTCCAGGGAGGGGTAGGACACATGCCTTCATCCTTTTCTCTCTCTCTTGGCACAGCCCAGCCTTTTAGCCTCATTTAGTCAGAGGTCTCTTTGGGCTGGGCCAGGCAATAAAGGCCACTTGTCCTCCTCAGGCTGTGACTGGATACAGGCAGGGCCCCCCAAAGTCCCCTCTGCAGGCTTTTCCACTTGGCTGACCTTGGGCCCCTCCTGAGTGTTCCTGGCATCAAAGTGCCTGTGCTCCAGGGGCAGAGCCCTCCCCTGTCATGCTTCCAAACCTCTGTCCCACCTGATGATAACCTGCCCAGGAGCCTTCCTCAGGAAGTTTTCCTACTGGAGCAGGGTTGCCAGTAACCACCCCGGGTTCATCCCCTCAGCTGAGTTTTTACAGACACCCTTTCCCCGCTTTGTTTCTGTTACTTAGGTTGAGGCTGGCCCCTTCACTGCAGTCACCTCCTGTCCACTCCTCCCTTTCCAGGCCACTCACTCTATATGGCCAGTTGGTTCCCATCCCCATGACCTCCACGCAGCCTCCCCCTGGCTCCTGGGCCACGGGTCTCCTCTTTGCCCCATCTCTGTCCTTCCCAAGGTGTCTGTATCTATGTAACCCCAAGCTTTGCCTGTTCCCTGCTGTCCTGGGTTCAACTCCTAAGTAGAGCCTCTCATGGTGTGATCCAAACTGCTCTGGAGTTGTCCCTGACAAGGGTTCCAGGATCCCTCATCCCAGGAGACCCCAAGAGATCTCCCAGCCTTGCCAGTTCCTTGACACTCACTAATTTGTCATTAACCAGGTCTTTGCCAGGCTGTGCCCCTGCCCGTGTTGCCTTTCCCTCTCAGAAGCCTTTAGGATTTCCTCTGAGACATCTCCTCTCTCTTTGGAAAACATCGCAGTCTGTCTTTCCAGCATCTCTATAGTTACTAGAGCTCAGCTCAGTGCCCAGTTAACACTAAACATCAGTAAAATAGGTTTGGACCAGGGAATGGGCACCCCTGCCTGGCTTAAAGGACTCATCCAGGCAAGAGGGAGTTCGGCATACTGACAAATACTGGCTAGCTGTGCTCAGCTTTGTGGAGAGCACAAGAGGGATGATCAGTGTATTAGCTACTGAGACCATCTGGATTCTGAGAACCTGAAAACACCAGTGGAGCCCAAGGCTTTGTTACTAGAAACATGATGTCTAGAGAAAAGGAGGTCAAACCTGATGTCCAAGTCAAATCTTTGAGCATAGGTCTGAACACAAAATCAGAGTGACATCAAGAAAAGAGAACTGGCTCTCAGAATTCCATATGAAGATCATCAGGGCAGGAGATGGTGAGTGGGGAAAGGCAAGAGGCATGGTGGTCTCTACCTGATATTTTGCCAGGCTTACCTAGAACCAAAGGAGCCGGCAAAGGGAAAAACTGCAGGGGTAGGTCTCCTTGATCCCAGGAAGGATTGGCAATCTGGGAATTTAGAGAGGGAGCTGCGTGTTGCAGGAGGTATGAGCAATAGCTGGATGGTACCATGTGGGAGGTCTGAGTGCCCTTAAAGCTCCACCATGCCCTTAACACCTACTTTGTGATTGTGTTCCAGCTATGAATGCCCACCCCAAGGAGATGGTGCCCCTCATGGGCAGGAAAGCCAATGTGTCCTGTGGGAATCCTGCTGTCCTGACAGAAAAAAGGCCAGCGGAGGTCACACCCACCAAGAAGAGGTAGGACTGGCAGGAGGTACCCATTCCAAAGATCTCTTCCTTTTGGTGGACCGAAATTCTCAAATGTCATCTAGGGTGGCATGATGCCCGACAAGATCTAACTGAGGAAAAGACACTGTATACTTGGGCTTTGCAGGGGAGGTCTGTAGACTGGAACAGTCAGGGAGCTCTCCCCAAAGGGGCTGAGGGGCACTGAGGCAAGAACATTCAGGAAGGCTCCTGGAGGAGGTAAGGGATTGCTGGACACCTGAAGACCAGGAGTAAAAAGTTGGAGGAAACTCCAGATAGCTCGGACTGTCAGTTGGGTGTGTTTTACCTACAGTGCACCTTTCAGCCCATTGTGCACCTGCTGGGTTGCACCAGCTCTGTAGCCCACTTGTATAATGGATCCTTTGGGAAAACCCAGTCCAGTCAGTGTACAAGCATCAGCTGGCAAAGGCAGAAGTTTCTGGGAGACCCAAGAAAAGAAGCAGACAGTCTCAAGATTGCACAGTGTTATTTACTGAGGACTTATAGGCCAAAGTATGTCTTCTGAGACAGCAAGAGAGAAGGATCACAGGTGCCAAGGTAGGAGGAGGGGATTTATATGCTAAACTAGAAAAGGTAAGTGGTGGCCAACTGGAGTATATTTTGCTTTTCTCAAAAATCATTATTGTGTCCAATCTCAGTTTAAAAACAGTCTGAGTATCCACGTTCAGCACAGTACTTCTTGCTGACTGTCTTTGCTATTTTTCAGCTCCAGGGTCACCAGGGGGAAAATAGAGGCTACGATCGAGATGGTTGTAGTCAAGCTGGGTGTCTATGTGGGGACACTAGCAGTGGTACCAGCTCACTGGATGATGAATTGGGATTATGTCAACAAAGTTCTCAGCACAGTGCATGTGTTCATGTGGCCAGAGCTCAGCACATGTTGATGAAGGTAGTGTTTTTGTACCCTCTTTCATCATCATTGCTGTTGTCACTTAGTGGGCTCTTGGAACTGAGGCTGGGCTGGGCTGGTTAGTTCCATTTCCAAGCTGGGAATGCAGAGGAAGCTGGGGTCAGGGAAGGACTTCTCCAGGTTCAGACTTTCTTTTCCATGAGTTGCCTTTTAAGGCAGGTCTCTCTTAGAGCCCTTGACTGATTGGGTGCCTTCTAGATGAGCCATCTCAGACCAGGGAACCACCTCAGCTGTGCTTCCCTCAGACACCAGTGGACCCCTGCTCTAGGCTGACCCATTTTCTTGCCTTCCCTGCCAATCTAGGCCTCCTATTGGGCCAGAGGTAAACTTAGTTCTTTCCTTCCATCTGTTGGTTCAAGTCACAATCATTGAGGTCCAGGGCTGACTCGGTAGGGATTTGGGGATACAGAGAAAAAGCCTACCTACTTCTGCCTAGTCTGAAGGGGTAGATACAAAGGACAATGTTGGAAGTACATGAGAAGAAGCACACTGGGTAGAGTAGGGATTGAGGCGGCAGATCAGTCTGATCCTACGGGCAGTCTCAGGCTGCCTCGTACAGGAGGTAGTAAAGTGGAGACTCGTAGGTAGAGAGGAAGGGAAAGGGTGTGCCATGCAGCAGTTCAGACAGGGACCAGTGAGAAGTCTGAGGTGGCTGAAATACCGGTGAGGAGAGAACTCTTTGGGAGAGAAGAGCCTTACTGGGGCTTGGACGTGGGCGATTGGTTAAGGAACTTAGAAAATCTTGAGAGATGTAGAGAACCATGGAGTGATTTCTCTTGGGAGGGAGGGTATAGTGAATTTGTATTTTAAAAAGGTGATCTGTGAGGATGATGGATTGGAGAGGAGACTGGGGCAGGGAGATCGTGAAGAAGCTGTTGGAAAGCCCAAGTGACAGTTGGTAAGGTCTGAATCTGGGTGGTGACAGATGAGAGGAGGGGGTGGATCAGAGAAGTATTAGTGTCATGTGACCTGTTATGGGAGGGAAGGGAGAAAGAAGAGACATTTCCTTCTGATTCAATGAGTTGGAGGGATGGTGAGGCCCTCTGATATGGCCCTTGAGGAGCAGAAGGAACACGGTCAGGAGGAATGAACCAAGATCTGGTATAAAACATTGGCTAAGGGTGCTTATGAGGCATCCAGGTAGATGTCTAACATGGAGTGCAGAAGAGGAAGAGAGAGCTGTGGGAAACAGAGATGTAACAGGTGTCAAAGAAGCATGAAGACTTCATGGAAGGAGCAGAAATATCCCTGAGCTGGGCCAGCAAGGACCATTTGTCCTTGCTATCTTCCTGGTCTCCCTTCCGTCCCATTTTGCTAGGTGGACTTGGACATCTTGGCAGGATTGAGGATGGGCTTTGAAGGAATTCTATTCTAGGGGTTCCTAAGCAGGACCTGTCCAGCTGCCTCTTTGGAGCCCATCCCCATACATAAATTGACTCCTGGCTCAACTCTACTGGCTACATTGGCCACCTTTCCATCAGTTAGACAAAATACCTGGCATACACATCTTAAAGAAGGAAGGTTTATTTTGGTCTACAGTTTGTGGTGGAAGGGTAGAGGAAAGCTGTGCATCTCCTGGTAGCTGGGAAGCAGAGAGAAAAGAAAAGAATGAGAGAGAGGGACAGATAGACAGACAGACAAGAGACACCAAACACTTCCTTCAAAGATGTATACCCTTGATACCTCCTAATAGTCAATTCAGTATAAATTCATCAATAGGTCAATAAATTGATGAAGTTAGTGTCTTCATGACCCAGTTACCCCTCTATGTTTCACCCGGGAACACTACTTCTTTGAGGCTCGAGCCCCTAGAACACTTCACACTTAAACTGTGACATTGACCACCTGATTGCCTGATCCAGCCAGCTGAGGTGCAACTTTTGTCTCTTAAAGTCTGTTTGTGGCCCTCATGCAAAGGTTGGGGATCTCCCTGAGAACTGGTTACAAAACTTAGGCTTAGAGAAAACAAAAAGTACACACTATATGCAAAGAAAGAGAGCAATGTTGACCACTAGGTAACTATGTACTAATGGTGGAACTGAAGGCACCAGCAGGTATGTGTGTGTGTGTGTGCATATGTGTGCCTGTAATTCATGGACCTCAACCGTCATGCTATTCTCTGTGAAGTCCAATGCAGGACCAGAGATGCAGGCTGATAGGTGTGAAGGAGCTGGCCTTACAGAGCTCGGAACACTTGGGCAATTCTCAGAACAAGGCAGAAGGTCAGATAAGGTCTTCCCTAGCTGTGGCATTGCTTCCCGGAGGGACAGAAATGCAGGAGAAAGGGCTTAGTGCTGCCTGTGCACCTGCATTAACAACACCCTGCTGACTCAGGATACAGATAGGAATAAACAATCAGCATCTGTAGCAGTTCGAATCCCAGATGTCACATGGGCAAGACTGTACTATGTGCTTACGATAGTGGGTGGGAAGTGGGTATGAAAGGTAAGTAGGGCTACCCACAGGGTTCCCCCAGGTGTCTCCCACTAGTCTCCTCACATCCTGTGTGCCTTCCCCAGCACAGCCCTTTCCTTACTGCCCAGGAAGATGTTGTCTTGCTGCTTCCTCTGTCTCTGGGCTTCCCCCAAGCCACAGGCCTACTTAAGACCCAGACTGCATCTTCCCCACCTGTGCCCTACACTGCTTCCTTACCTTGAGCTCCTAGAGCCCAGTCCCTCTCCAGAGAGCTAGAAGTTGTCATCAGAATGGTGTCGGCCCTGGTCGAGGTCTCTGAGGATGAGGTTCATAGAACGATCATGTGTCCTCTCCCCGTTCCCTAAAAAATGTTCTATTATGAGCATCTGGGTAGGTTTGAGCAACAGGTGTGTCAGTGAAGGAGGAGGCTGGAAATGGAGAGGAGTGGGTAAGCTGACAGGCAAGCAGCCCAGCCACTCAGCAAGGGTGAGGGCCTGACGTGGTGAAATGATTCTTCTCCTTCACTGGCCTCAGGCATGGGCTGGATAGATGTGCTTCTGACCTGGCTTCTTAGACCATTTGGAGGTTTCTTTGAGCCCTTGCAGGAGGCCTTGAAGAGGGAGGGAGATGGAGGAAATTCAAAGGACCCCTTCTCAGCTCCTTGTGCAAGACTGAGAGCTTTGGGAAACAGTACGGTAAAAGTCACATGAAGGATGCAACCTTTGGACAGTGTTTGCAGGAGGGTTGTACTGATCTGCCTGGGCATTGGTCCTATCAGCAGGTATCTTCATTTATCTACCCCACCTACCCCCTGACTACTCATCACCCATCCATTCATCCATTTATTTCCCACACATCCTCCCACAAGGTAATACTCACCCATCCACTCATCTGTCCATCTGCCTGGGCTGCCAGTCTTCATTCTGCTATCTTTCCCTCATCACCTGTCCTCCCATTCATTTGTTCAGTGAGGTCTTTTGATTGTTAGCATCAATGCTGAAAAGTCAAGAAGGATTTTAGGGAATCAAATATAATACAGTTATTGTCGCTGCCATCGATGAATATGTGGCTGAAGATAATAGATTGTTCAGAGTCAGGAAAGATGTGGCCTCAAGGCACTATGCCCTGTTCTCCCCTGGGGTCTCATTCTGACCAACCCACTGGACAGCAGCTCTGTTTAATACTATATCTCCAGTTCCAGGAGCAATGCCTGGCACACTGCAGTGCTCAATAAACTGTATAAATGCACCACTGAGAAACCCAGATAGGTAGGGTAGGATGTGGGCCTCACAGGGACCAGACCACTGTCTTAAAGAAAAAGCTGTTGGTACAGATTTAGGGCCTGCTTAGAGAGGATTTGGCAAATCTCAGTCAGGATGTTTGGGACTAAGCCTCCAGGAGATGTGTGTGAGTGATGGGCTGCCATAGCAGAGTGGGGCCAGTTTTGGGGTGGTGGTTCTGGGCCACTTCCAGAGTGCAGGGGAGTGGCGATCAGAATGGCTAACCTCTGAAGCCCACTTCAGCTAGATGTCCAGAGGTGGATAATCCTAGAGCTGTCCTGACTCTAGGTCCACTGTTTAGGAATTGTCTGAGCTGATCATCACCTATTCAGGTAAGGATGCTTGGAGCAGAGATGAAAGGTAACCACACAGGAGGAAGAAGCAGAGGCATGTTAGAACCCAGGCTTTGAGTTCCCAACCAAAGATTTACATCTTCCCATTCTCTTCTATTCTGGCATATTAATGGTACATGTATATATCATATAATCAAGTCAATCTTTTTTTTTTGGTACCAGGGATCAAGCTCAAGACCTTGTGTTTGCCAGGCCAGCACTTATGCTGCTGAGCTAACCCCCCAGACCCTGGTCTTATATTTTGGAAGAAAAATTTGCCTCTAGGTCAGGTTAGAAGTTTTCTCTTGATGGGCAAGAGCCAGAAGATACAGGCCAATGCTCTCTGCCCTGTTTGTGGGTGAACTCTGAGCTTTCTAGGCTCATCTGTGAGTGGAGAACAGGAGGGACCCACCAGGTCAGCATGAGTCTCTCCTGCCAGCTCCACCCTGAGAAGTGGCTGTGTTGGTCAGCCTCCTTTTGAGACTAAGTCCTACTGCTAGTTTGGCCAGAAACAAGCCCAGAGGACTGAGAGCAGAGCAGCGTAGACACTAGTCACCAAGTTCTTCTATCCTGGGGGGTGGGGTGACCGTGGATGAGCTGCTTCTCCATGTCAAATCTCAGATGCTTCATGTGCAGAATGGGCCCAGTAGCCCTTCCTTGTTGCCCTGCTTGTGAATTTTATAGGGCTACATTGTGCTTTGGGAGCTTTCCCAGGGTCTTATGAGGAGGGGAGAAGGGATGCTGGTCCTCCCGGACCTTGGGAGAAAGCAAGCAGGCACCAAAGGTGTTTGGAAGCCCAAGGCCTGGAGAGAGGCCCAGCATCCGGGAGGCTACTGTGCTGGAGAGGTCACAGGGTTGGTGACTGTGCCACAGCAGCTGCTGCAACTGACGTCACTCTTGGTGTGATCCCAGTAGGCATCAGAAGGCTCATCTCTAAGTGTGCAGTTGCAGTTTCCAAGGTCACACCTATCTGCATCTGTATGTATGCGAAGGGTGCCTGACTGTGGCTGCCTGGGAATTTCCAGGTTGTACGGGCCCAGCCCCAAGGAGAAGCTCTGCTTTTCCTCTCCACGGCCTGACACAGTTTCCTGGGTTTCCCTTCCTGATGATGCGGTGTTGTCAGTCCTCTCCCCTGACTCTCAGGTCCTTCCTGCTTATAGCAGCCTTCTTAGCCTGTCTGCTGTTATGACAGACAGCACAGGTGCTGATGACAGCAATTGAGAGTGGAGGGGTGGACCATGCTGGAGCAGCCAGGCCCACTCCTTTAGGAGCTGGCATAGAGCCCGTGGTGTGCTCTAGGAGCTTCCCCTGCATGCCCTCACGTCATGGCCGTGTTTTGGGGACATCTGGGTGAGAAGGAGGCTCTAGCTCATGTTGTTCTCTCCCCATCTTTGAAGAGCCTTTCATACCTGGAGACAACCACAGTCCTCAGGTGCTAGGCACTCACCCCAGGAGTGACTCTGGGGTTCCTCCACCCAGTACTTCTATCGATGAGAGTCACTCAGATTTGAATCCAGGCTCTGCCAGGAACCTGTGGGTGGCTGTAGACAAATTTTTACCCCAAAGCCTCCCAGGGCCAGACTGTGACATAAGAATGAGGAAAGAGCCCAAACCTGGGGCTGCTGTAAGGGCTGGAGGAGGCTGATGTGGCACAGGGCTAGCCAAGGGCGAATGCTTCATGTGCTGTGACTCACAGCTGGACAGGTCCTACCCAGGTCTAATGGCCTTGTCTGGATGTCCCCTCAGTGCTCACTTCTTCCTGGAGATAGAAGGCTTCGAGCCCAATCCCACCGTCACCAAGACATCCCCGCCTGTCTTCTCAAAACCGATGGACTCCAACATCCGGCAGTGGTGAGTCCTGCCCTGCCTGACCTCTCCATCCGGCAGGAGGCCAGTGATGGGCACTGGGCCACACGGCCAATCCTGGTTTAGCCTGCTGCCACTGTAAATTTTCAAAACTTGTCCTCTGCACTTCCAGCCTCTCTGGCAACTGTGATGACATGGATTCCCCTCAGTCTCCTCAGGATGATGTGACTGAGACCCCATCCAACCCCAACAGTCCAAGGTAAGTCAGGTCCTTCCCTTCATCCTACCAAGCACACTGAGGAGCAGTGGCAGAGGGACAGGTTCCAGCAACTTACAGGAAAGGGAAAAGGCCACCATTCCTGAGGTTTGGGGACAAATGTCTGGAGGTGTAGGCCCATCTAAATGATACTCTTTCATTGCAAAACACTCAAAGCTTTCCCCCAGGAGCCTATAGTTTAGGTCATGGCTATGCACAGTTTGACATATACCCTTCTTGATCATTCCTCCGCATATCCAGACACTTATTTCAATACATGTGATTGCACGTAGACAGGAACAGGAGTCTGATAGGGAGTCCAGGGCCAGAGTATGAATAGCAGGCGTCATAAGCCATGGGAGATGCTGGGAGGCTGGTGTATGGCCCTGGAGAGTTAGTAGCTGTGATAGGGGAGAGAGTGTGGTAGTGAATTAAACATTTTCTGGCCTTAGTGCAAACCAGGCCAAGGAAGAGAAGAGGCGGAAGAAGAAGAGTCTGAAGAAGCGCATCTTCTCTGCAGTCTCTGAGGGCTTTGTGGAGGAGCTGGTGGAGCTGCTGGTGGAGCTGCAGGAGCTTTGCAGACGGCGTCGCGGCCTGGATGTGTCTGGTTAGTGCCTGGCCCTGGAAGACGATGTAGGCCTGGGAATCCCCACTTGTCTCTGTTTGGCTCCTGCTCCATCTCCTGTGGGCTGGAGTGTGACCACCCTTGAATGCTGGGCTGGTGACCTTGAACTTGACTCTGAAAGCAATGGGGAGCTGTGGATGGGTTAGGCAAGGAGGGTCATGCTCTGGCTATTGCATGGAGGATGGGGTAAAACTGGAGAATCAGGACTGAGACTCTGAGTAAGGCTCGGGGAGGGGAGCAGTTCTGTGGAGTCTTTAGGCAGGGCACTGCAGGACTCCAGGACATGGGGAGAGAGGGAGGGGGAGGAGTACCATTTGGATATGGGTCACCTGATGGGGCCCTGACTGTCTAGGGGACCAGGACAGAAGCAAGTTGAAAGGGAGAAGATAGATTCTAAAGACCGGGAGGAAGGAGAAGTCAGGGTGGAAATGGCGATTCCAGTGTGAGGAGCTGGGGAGGAATGAGACCACCCCCAAACCGGAGAAGGTGCAGCGGGCAAGAATCAAGGCCTCAGATAAGGCTCTCACAGACATGAAGAAGAAAGGAAGCCGAACCAGAGGAAGAACTGCTGAAGAGGAAGGAAGAGACCAAGGAGTGCGGGGTCAGGGAGACTCACACAGGCCAGAGGGGACAGAGCAGGATCTTGAGGTGCGAGGCTATGGCTCCTGCCTCTCCTGGGCTGGGAGGGCCAAGAGTAGCTGGTCATTTCTGCCTATGCTTCCATCCTATGACCTGCCCATAGACTTCCTCATGCACAAGCTGACGGCTTCAGACACGGGAAAGACCTGCCTGATGAAGGCCTTGCTAAACATCAACCCCAACACAAAGGAGATCGTGCACATCCTGCTCACTTTCGCAGATGAGAACGACATTCTGGACCAGTTTGTCAATGCTGAGTATACCGAGGAGGCCTACGAAGGTACCCTGCCCACAGGGGCTGTGCAGATGGGGGTCTCCAGGGTTTCCAAGGCCACTGCTGCCTGTATCATGCAGAGGCTTTGCTGCCAGCAGAAAGCCCAGCACACACGGCATGGTGCTGGGCAGGCAGCAGGTACTTTTCTCATTCTTTCTTCTTTCTGCAAATGTGTGGTGCTAGGCATCGTTGTCAGTACTGGAGTACAACAGGGAACAAATTAGACTAAGGCCACTGCTCTAAGATAAAATAAATTTAGACAGAAAATTTTATGAAAATAAAATAAAAGAAGCTAATGGGGCAGAAAGAAATGGGGTGGGTAACTTTAGAGTGGGTGGATGGAGAGGTACCTTGACCTGCAGAATGAGAAAGATCTGGAGTAAAACAAGGACAAGAGCCCCGAAAGGAAATGTCTTGGTGTGTTTCAGCTATGGAAGGAGATTGGAGATGAGGCTGGAGAACCAGGAAGGGCTATAAGAAGACAACTACTCGTGTCATTATCACTGTGGTTAACTGTCTCTCTTGGGTCTCAGTTTTGTGGCTTCCATTGAGGTGGGCCATGGAGGCAAAATTTGGACCAAGACTGGAGACACAGCTCTGGAAGAACACAGGCCTAGCAAATACAGATTCCTGGCTTTGACTCCTAGCACTGGAAGAAAGACAGCTCCAGAGTGAATAAGCTGTATGTGCTCAAGTGCACATCTGAGGTGTTGGCCTCAGAACTGCCCACTAAATTTAGGCACTTTTGGCAAAAAGGAAGGTTCGTGGTGGCCCCCTGCTGGTGAGCCAGGTCCACTGTAATGCAGCTTTCCCAGGTGGGGTCTAGGGTGGGCCCTTGACCCTTCTCAAGGGAGAAAGTCACTTGGATTTATTATTTGAACTCTGCAGACTTTCAAGTGGGATTTAGTTATATTTAAGAAAAATCTAAGGGTCGGGACAGTCTAGAAGCAGTGGAGGAAAGGAGAAGAAAGCCAGGAAAGACTGCCGTGCCTGAGCTCTGAGCACACACAGAGCTGCTGGTAGTCACGGCAAAGAGCAACGCTGGATGCATCATTTAGCGTTCTTACCCCATCAGGAGTTGACACGAGTCCTGTGGATGGCAGGGTGTCAGGCCTGTGTCTCCAGCTGACTTGTCCTGATTCTGTTCCCCTTACGGTCCTCTCGGGTTTCCTCTTTCTCTCAGGACTGCAGGGACACACAGACTCACCCCTGCTGGCAGTGGGGCCTCCCCCACCCCTCTGATGAGGGCAGTCTTGCTATGCAGTGCAGGCAGGCCTAGCCTCTGCTGCTCTCCAATATAGCTGTCTTCTTGCCTCAGCCTCCTCAGTGCTGAGATTACAGGCATGTGCCACTAACTTCTGCTCAGTAGGCTCCTTTTGAGGTCAGGGATTCTTGGATGTCCTTGAGGACAGCTATGAAGACCGTCTGCTGCCCAAAGTTGACTTGCTAGTGCTCTTGAGGTCTCTCATCTGAGACACTGAATTTTTTTTTTTTTTTTTCCGGAGTGAATGAGTGGAGGACATTAGTGTCTCCATTAAGGTTCTGCTGTTCTGGCTTCACATCCTTGCTTCTCTCCTTCTCTGTCTCCCCTTGACCCTTCCTTCTTCCTCAAATCCATCTCTTGCTGGTGGGCTCGCAGAGGGTTGTAGGTGCCACTCTGGTCTCAGGAGTGGCGAGGAGCAGCTGTTCCTCTTTCCAACAACCCCCCCAATGGCCATCAGTCGGCTCCTGACGTTATTATAGTTGGTGATTTTAGAAAGCCCCACCCCTTAGTGCTGAGGGGCTTCAGGACCAGAAGGCCGCGTGTCACGGGGGTCTCAGGACCCAAGTGAACCCCCTGCACATCCCGCCCGGTCCACAGGGCAGACGGCTCTCAACATCGCCATCGAGCGGCGCCAGAGAGACATCGCGGCTGTGCTCATCGCCGCCGGGGCCGACGTCAATGCCCACGCCAAGGGAGTCTTCTTCAACCCCAAGTACCAGCACGAAGGCTTCTACTTTGGTGGGTGCGGCCCTGGCCCAGGTGGCCGTGGGACAGGCATTGGGGAAGAGGGAGGAAGGGCTCGCTCTACACTCTCCTACTCCTAGTAGGAGTAGGAGGCGCTGGTGGGCTGCAGAGCCCTCTGCTGGGTAGAGGTCCAAGGCCTGGGAGGACAGAGCTTGACCAGGAAGCCGCTGGGTCAGAGGCATCTGAGCAGGACCCAGGGCAGACCTGAGAGTGGGGCTGGGTAGGTAAAGTGGTGCTGGGTGGACCGGAGACATCTATCTGGGAGCAGTCTGCAGGGAACAGAGCTGGGAAAACATCAAGGGGGCAGCCCCGTTTCACAGAGAAGCGGTGGCTCTGGAGGGGAGGTGACTTCCCTTGCCTAGTAAGGCCTTGATGTGGCTGGATGGCCCAGCTTCTAACTCTGGCCTCTCAGGACTGCAAACAGGGAGTCACAGGTGGGAGCAGGAACATTTTGGACTCACAAGTTGGGGAGTCCCAAAGCAATTGAGGTTAGATATGTCAACCTAAAGTACAAGAAAAAAAATCAGAGTCTCCAAATAAAAAGTACTGATACTTATTTGAGAAGAGAAGAGCAGCTTGAAGCTGCCGACAGGGACCTGTAATGGAAACAGCCACACCACAGCCAACTAATTGTGTGTTCACACAGGCGGAGGAGAGTCCAAGGTTTTAAAGACGAAAACTAGGAGGCTTATGCCAGACATATTTAAACAGTAATCTGGCTACAATGATTAATAACAAGAGCAGAGTCAGTTCGAGGGTAGACAGATGACAGGTCTTGGGCAGATGTCTTTGTACAAGTACTTTTTGTCCAAGGTCATTGCCACCCCTGTGCAACTCGTGGTTGGTCCTGTTGTTGATAGTTATGATCAAGACATCATGTGTAAAAGCCCCCTTTTCTCATCCTCCCTGCTTTGTCTACTTTTTTTTTTTTTTGGTGTTTTTGATGGATTGACATAAGCGATTCCATTTTGACTTTGACATGGGTCACAGTTCTTTCATGCATGCTCTGGTTGAAAATAAGTTGAAATGTGTAATTTCCCTGTGGTGAAATTCACTTTAGTGTAGAGGGCTGTCATTTTCACAAATTCTCATAGTTGTGTGGCCACTGTCAGAACAGGAAAAGTGACTAGGGGCTCCATTAGGCCAAAATCTTTCTTTAAGAAATTGGTATTAAAACCTTTTTCTCTTACCCCAGCTGCTGTCTACTAGCCACTGATTTGTTTCCTCCTCTGGGTGGCTGTTTAATCAGTAGGTGGGGGAAGTTCTGCTTACCCTGGAGAATAGGGTGGGAGGAAGAGAGAGGCTGGAGGACAGTGGGAGCCCTGGCATCAGTCCTGGTGTTGCAACAGGTGCTGTGCGACTAGTTTGGAGTCACTTGCCTTCTCTTTTCTCAGTAAAAATGAATCAAGTGCTTACTGTCTGCATCAGGCTGCATTCTAGGTGCTTCAAATATATAAGTAAACAAAACAGAGTACAAATATATAAACAAACAAACAAACAAAAAGATCTCTGCATTCTAGGTGTGGAGAAAGACCATCAGTAAAAAACAGTATAAATAAGAGTTTATAGACTGTGCTAGAAGTGCTATTGAAAAACAACAGCAACAAAAAAGCGAAGTAAAGCAGAGGAAGAAGAGCCGGAAATTCTGTCTGGAGCTGGAGGGAGAAGACTTGTTCAGTTTTCTATTTGAACAAAAAACTGAAGGAAATGTGAGTGGGTGCTGCAGTGTGCACCCCCACAGGTAGAGCAGCCAGCCTATATAAAGGCCATGAGATAGGAAAGTGCTCAGTGTGTCTGTGGAGAAGGAAGAAGGCCTTTGAAAGCAAGGGAGGAAAAAAAGGAGGGAAGGTGGCTAGGAGATACAGGATTTGAGGACTGTTTTGAAACTTGAGCTTTAATTCTTCATAAGATTGGAAATGTGAATAGGCTCTATCTGTCTGTTGCACTGAGCATAGCCTTGGAGAGCAAGGTGGCAGGTGGTGGGGGTGGGGAGCAGGGGAGCGGTTAGGCAGCTCTTGCAGCTCTTGCAGGGATCTTCCCCTGGACAAGGAGCAATGCGATGGGCAGGTAATGTGATTGCTGATGTGGTTAGGGTATGGGCTCGGGGCCTGGGGACCACTGCTTCTGGCTCATGAAAGGGCTGAGTCTTGGAGCTCCCCTTTCTTCAGGTGAGACACCCCTGGCCCTGGCAGCGTGCACCAACCAACCTGAGATTGTGCAGCTGCTGATGGAGAATGAGCAGACAGACATCACTTCGCAGGACTCCCGGGGAAACAACATCCTTCATGCGCTGGTGACAGTGGCTGAGGACTTCAAGACCCAGAATGACTTTGTGAAGCGCATGTATGACATGATCCTGCTCAAGAGTGGCAACTGGGAGCTGGAGACCATGCACAACAACGATGGCCTCACACCCCTGCAGCTGGCTGCCAAGATGGGCAAAGCTGAGGTGGGCTATGGCTGCAAGGTGACTGGATGTTGGGGAGGCACACTGTCCCTCTGCTAGCTCTGGGGCCTTCCTGAGGATCCCTCAGTCTACGGCCTGATGGAACCAGGAAGGTTTCATCCTTAGGTCTAGCTAAGGTGGGTTTCTGAGTGACCACACCAGGGAGGTACAGCCTGTGGGTCCTCACTCTGGCTTTTGGTCCCACTCTCTGTGGTTCTAACTCTTGTCCTGGGACTTTCTCCCTGGTCCAGACTGGGGGAGCCCTGAGGCTGAGCATTCCTGCATGGTAAGCAGAGACTGGGTATCTGATCCTTGAACTCTTTGGCCTCTTATGAGGATGAGAATTCTGCATAGTAGCCCAGAGCCAATGGGAGAGAGCTTAGTCTGTGGATCGTGACAGAACTCTGAGAATAATATTCCTAGCAAAGGCCCTTGTGCCTTCTGTGATGGGGCTCAGAGCCTTGGTGAAGTCTTGGACTGTTCTGAGCTCAGACAGGAGCCATGTCTCAGTCTGAGCCCAAAGCCAAGGCTCATATTCTTCTCAGAGGACAGATCTAGAGGTCCCAGCCTCTTCTGCTACCTCTGAGTCTGGCAGGGCACTCTGCACCCATCCATCTCCCAAGTCAGCTGCTCTGAGGCCCTTGGGTCTGTGCCTGTGGTCATGACTGGGAATCACAAGGGACCTTTTGATTCTCTTGTGGGGGAGGAGGAGTTGGAGAATGAATTGAACAGAGATGGAATTGTGTCCTGGCCTCCTCTTCCTTCACCTACCAGCCCACATCACGGCTTTCTGGGCTTTGAGGCAAGTCAGATGGCAACTGCAGATCAAGCTTTCTCCAAGGGCTTCATCCCTGCCTGTCACTGTGACATGGGCTCTCCTTGCCTGCCCAGCCCAGGGAGACTGATTCTCACATGGAGATGGCCCAGGACCCTTATCCCCGTTCAACAGCTGACAATTGTTCCTCTTCCTGTGCCTAGATCCTGAAGTACATCCTCAGTCGGGAGATCAAGGAGAAGCCGCTCCGGAGTCTATCTCGGAAGTTCACGGACTGGGCCTACGGGCCTGTGTCGTCCTCACTCTATGACCTCACCAATGTGGATACTACCACAGACAACTCTGTGCTGGAAATTATCGTCTACAACACAAACATTGATGTGGGTCCCCAGGGTGGGCCAGGAGGGCAGGGAGCAAAGGCTTGACCTCAGCCAGGAGCTCAGGGGGAAGTGGAAGGACCAGACGCCACCAGTGTCCAGTGTCTGCAGTCCTTCAGTCCTTTGTCTCAGTGCCAGAGGCAGGCACCGGAAGGTCAGGGCCTGGTGCTGACGCTGTCTCAGCTGTTCCTGGGCATCCTCAGATTGTGGACTAGTGTTTGGAGGTTTGGGAGCCCCCAAATCCTGGGCAGTTTGGGTTTGGGTGAGAGGTGGTGTTGGTCACCTCCACCTTTTTTTTTTTTTTATACCTGGGATTGAACTCGAAACCTCCTACTTGCCAGGCAAGTGCTTATGCCACTGAGCTAAACCCCTGGCGAGTCACCTCCATCTTGTATCTCTCCCACTCTCACTGCCAGTTTATACAGCCTGGCTTGGAATCCTTTTTTTCCTCAGCTCTAGTTTCTGAACATGAAGGTCATAGAGTGCACAGCTGGAGCAGTTCAGGGCCTTCCTGGAGGAGGCTGGAGAGGGGAGAGAGTTTAGCTAGAAGGGAGGAGAGAGGGTCACCTCCAAGAGATTTCAGCTTTTGGGTAACGTGAGGAAGCAGGCTGGGCTTCATGCTTCATATCTTACCACAATTCTGCTTCTCAGGGCCTACCTCAGCCAGGGTCTCCCTGGGCCCTCACGGCAGCCTGGCTGGGAGGGTAAGAATTTTATAGATGAGAGTTCTGGGGCCTAGAGAGGATTAGCAGCTGTCCTGAGGTCACACAGGGAAGGGAGCAAATTGGGACTGGAACCTTTTCCTAGCTCTCACTATGCATTAGATTCTCCTGCCGGAAGTCTCAAGCTTCTGGGCATTTGGCTGATACTGGCAGGAAGGAGTCCTAAGAGCTGGAAATTACTCTCTTAACATTTCCAGCTAAACCAGTCCATACCACATCAGACTGGCCCTGGTCCAGACTGACTCAGAGCTCTGGAAATGGGCCCTCCCTGCCTCTCTCATCTCTGTGGTGACTGGTGGCATTCTATCCCCAGAACCGGCATGAGATGCTGACCCTGGAGCCCCTGCACACGCTGCTGCGTATGAAGTGGAAGAAGTTTGCCAAATACATGTTCTTCTTGTCCTTTTTTTTCTATTTCTTCTACAACATCACCTTGACTCTCGTCTCTTACTATCGTCCCCGGGAGAAGGAGGTATGTGGGTCCTTGGGAGCAGAGGGGAGGTCAAAGCTGGAGGAGCTTGGAGCTGTCCCATTTGTAGACAGGGAGATGGAGACCAGAGAGTCCAAGAGATTTGCACGATGTTCTTCATTAGTCGTCCTTCAGAGTTTCTAGGGAACTGAACACGTCTTTGGAGGTTAGCTGGGGTTGGCTGTGGGCGCTCAGCCTTGGGTGCTCAGCCCCAGGCTGACTCAGGTTGTAGGGAGAAGTGAGGGATTAGGAGCTCCAAGTCCTGCCAGGTTTTTTGTCTGACTCTAGAAAGAATTGGGTGCTTCCACTATGAGGGCTACAGGAGGAGTGTATGTGGGGGGTGGGGAGGAGGGGGTGGGGGCGATGGGGTTGATTGGCCAGCCTTCCCAGGATGCTGGGCCTTAGTTTTCCATGTATAACTGGGGCACAGTCTGGGCTTTATTTACCTTGTTAGGTGGCCCTGTTGAGTGACTAGTGATGAATGGTTCTGGGAAGGACAAATGGAATGGACTATGTGGGGTTCTTAGCACAGACTTGCTTGATCCCCTAGCCCTAGAGTGCTGGGTTTCCACTGAGGCAGGGGATAGGGATGCTGTATCTTCTCTTACCCTCTACAGAGATAGGGTTTCATGCAGCCTTTGGTCTTGCTTGAGGTTTTGTCACACCTATATGTCATGATTCCTTGGGTGGGACACTGGCCTTCCTGCTGACTCTCATGCTCACTCTCTCCCTCCCTCCATCCCTCTGTCCCTCATCCCTCCTTCCCTGCCTCCCTCCCTCCTTCCTTCCTTCCTTCCTTCCTTCCTTCCTTCCTTCCTTCCTTCCCAGGACCTTCCACACCCGTTGGCCCTGTCACACAAGATGGGGTGGCTGCAGCTCTTAGGGAGGATGTTTGTTCTCATCTGGGCAACATGCATCTCTGTGAAAGAGGTGAGTGGGCACCTACACCCTTCCGGACTTCCCTGCTGGGGACAATAGGCCTGGCTCCCACTCTTCTCCCCGCATTGCCAGCACTATTGAGGGTGTTGGGAAGGTATTTTCTTTCTAAAACTTATATGCTCAAGTTATAACACATGAACAAATGAATAAGGAAGGCCTGTCCTAGTTACCTCACTCCCTCCATCCAGCCATCCAACTATTAGTTTTTATCTACTCAGCTACTCACTGTCCATATTCCTCTACTCACCACTGCTCATTGTTCTGGGCATTTGCTTTCTCTTATCCACTCATTCATCCATTCAAATATCCATGGAACTTTACCACTACCCATCCATTCTTTATCCAACCATCTTTCTATCTATCCATGCGTCCATCCATCCATCCATCCATCCTTTGATATGTCAATTCAACCAACCAACCAACCAATGAATTAACTGGCATATTCTTAGCACCCTTTACTTATGGGGCTCTGGAGGAGGTGATGGGGTAGAGTGAACTCTTTGAGTTCACTATCTGATAGAGATGTTATATGGGTATAACATCTAGACTTTAAGGTAGAATTTGAAAAGGCCCCAGTGGTGAGAGGAAGGGAGATAATTGGGAGCATGGGAGGGAGGAAAGCCTTGAAGGTAGGGATGGCATTTACTCTGATACAGTAGGGTAAGGTACGAAGGTACTGGGGATCAAGAGCAGCAAGTCTGACCATAATAGGAAACAGTATAGGTAACTGTAGTGATTGGTTTGAGGATGGGGATGAAGAATTAGAGAGATAAGAAGTTCTGAGGTAGCATCCACTGTCACTGCGAGGTCACCCCTGCTTTCCAGGCACAGGTCCCTTCCCTCCCCTGGGCTGTGGCTTGGCCTTCACACACACACATCCTGCACTGAATCTCAGTCCTGGGGAAGCAACCCCTTCCCAGAGCCTCAACAGAGGCACATGAAGAGGGTGAAGTTTTTTTTTTTTAAATTTTATTTAAAAGGAAAAAGAGAAAAACACAAAACAAAACAAAGCGGTGTAAGGGTACAAGTAATTCAGAACTACAAAAAAAAAGTAAGAAATCACCAGTTAATAGATTACATATTATCATCTTAGAGATAGTTGCTCAAATCACAGTATCAAAGAATACAAAGTGGACATTCAAACAGTGAGACTGCAAACAGTTGTGTTCAATGATCCAACCAAAAACATTAATATGGTCAGCTATTAAACACCCCTAAACACACTTGCTGTTGTATCCTTTAGAGCTCTTTTTATCCCCTCTCTTTTTTACAACAAAATTTACACATTTTGGGCTTTATTACTCCTTAGTTCTTATTACTTTTTTGGGGGGGGAGAGAATAAAGTAAAATATGGCAAAACAAAGCTGTCAGTCAAAACCAAGGATAGACATAGCACATGATGTAAAACAGAGTACACGGTTATCAACAATGGTTATCAACGATGTCTCTTGTTTCCTTAAAAAGAATTGTCTATCTCATTAGATATTATAAAGTTGAACAAAACAGTAGAGAACAAGACCAATAAAACTTAGGCATTGTAAACATTACATGACTTCCAAAGGAGACAATAGTCAAACCAGAATGGGCATCTTAGTGAATCTTACTGCCTTCAAAGTAGTTGTCTATACCCTCAAACTTGATACTATCATACAGAATGGAACAGAGTCTAATCAGTCAAAACAAGTGAGTGGGAGTATTACAGGACTTCAAAACAAGTTAATAGGAAATCAAAAAAAGTTACTATTATATATCCTGCTAATTTTTAAAATATTTCCCCTTAATTAAAACAAACATAAGAAATAACTAAATAATTTTTTTAAAGAATAAGGGAGAGATTGAGATAAAACAGGACATAACAATATAACAATACAGGTCAAAGCATGACTTTTCAGCAACCTAGTGCTAAAGAGGGTGAAGTTTTGCTTTCCTTTTTGGCTTTAGGGCATTGCAATCTTCCTGCTGAGACCTTCAGATCTGCAGTCCATCCTGTCAGATGCCTGGTTTCACTTTGTCTTGTAAGTAGGTCTTTCCCCTTGGTCACACCTCACATTCAGGGCCAAAGTTCACTTTTGTGGTTGCTTCTGGGATATCCACCTTAACTAGTGAAAAAGGCACATAGATGCCCAGGGAAGGAATCAGACACTCCCAGGACAGTGCCCAGTGTCTGGTGGCAGTGCTGGCTGACTCCACCTTGTTACAGAGCCCCAGGAACATGGAAAAGTCATAAGAAGACGGTTTAGCAGTCTTGTAGACTTTTTATAAGACAGAATTCCAGAGCAGCCTTTCCTACTTGCACAGGGCCTCAAAAAGTTGCCATCTGGGGCAACCAATTAGAATTGAAAGCTACCTGAAAAAGTCCTGGGTCTTGTCTGTAGATACCCCTGAAATTCTCAGAGCAGCAAAGTGAGTCACCTGCAGTCTCATGGTCCTTCAGTGGTGTGGGACATCCAGCCTCTTATCATCTTCACTCCCAGCTCATGCAGGGCTGATGGCCACAGTGCCTGCGCCATAAAGCCCAGTTCTGAATGAGGTCAGGTACCGCTGGTGACAAAGTCTGGTGTAACCTCCATCTCTAAGTGAGCAGAGGCCGATTCAGTTTTACTGCTGTGATAATGGAATAGAATCTGCAGCTCAGGATGAGGACTTCTGGGCTCCTGAGCTGTGTCTGCCACCCCCCCTGAAATTTCTCCCCTGAGCACGTAGAAGCCTGGTCTGTGGGGCTGACAGTCTTGGCCCAGTGATTCCAAATGCCTAGGGGTTTCATTATGTGTTTGCCTGCCTTCCAGTTTCATGAACAGTTCTTCATTCTGGAGGGCAGGCAGGTACCCACATGCTCCAGTAAGTGGCTTGACACTGCCCTGGGGTGTGAGACTCATGCGCACCTGATAGCTTTGAGGAAGTATGACGATTCCAGGGAAAACTCCGTTTCCACAGACAGTGGTTTTTTAGTGAATCATTTTGCTCTTTTGCTTCTTACTGTGTTAAGGTAGGGGACACAGGAACCATACTTTCCCACTCCAGTCCCAAATGTAGCTCATCAATCAAATGCTGTTCTTCACTGCACCAGAAAAACAAGCTTGCTAGTGTCCTAGTTTTGAGTAGTCCATAATTGTGGAAATTTCCTAATGTTGTAAGCAAGAGAGTATTTTTAATGAGATGCCTGCAAAAGTGGGAGTATACACACTCTTGAGTACATTTTGATCTTGTATTTTTGGTATATATTGTACTTAAAAAATTTAATTATGACAATGTATACAGAGCATAAAGTACACAGAACCATCTTGACTATTCTTAAGCGTTCATCTCAAAGCTCTGGGGTTCACTGACAATCTCCAGGATGCTTTTAATCTTGAAAAACTAAAACTCTGTACCTATAAAAAAAACTTCCAGTTCCCTTTTTACTGGTAAACAACATTCTACTTTTTGTCTCTGTGTTTGGCTATTCTGGGTATCATATAAGTGGAGTCATATAGTATTTGTCTTTTTTGTTTTTTTTTTATCAGTACTGGGGATCGAACTCACGACCACCTGCTTGCAAGGCAGGTGCTTATGCTGCTGAGCTAAATCCCCAGCCCCAGTATTTGTCTTTTTGTAATTGGCTTATTTCGTTAAGTAAGCATACTTTTTTAAGGCTGAAAAACAGAGTAGGCTTTGAGCAACTCATTTTAATTGGCTTATGAGTATATATGTTGGCAGATTTTATCTTGGTTAAAAATGCATCTATTCACCGCATCTTCAGTCTACATCAGTAGCTCCCAAATCTAGGTTAGAATCATACATCATTTGGGCAATTTAAAGAGTATTTATGGCCTTCTGGGCTGCATGCCAGGATCTGCTGGAGTCCTGGAGGGATCTGTATTTTTTTTTTTTTAAAGTACCTATCAACTTTAACTACCTAACTACTGGCCTCAACTCACATCTGAAGATTTCATCTAGAAGGCTGGAGTTCAGATGTAATTGGATGGATCTGAGGCAGCCTTAAGTGTCCCATCAGAATTGGTCACCAGGGTGCCATCAGGGGTTAGAGTTTGTGGAATCTGAATGTCTGTGCCCTGCTGCTGAGAAATAAGGTCTGTCTCCTGTGTCTCCTGAACAGTTTTATCCAAGCTGTGCTTGTGATACTGTCTGTCTTCTTGTACTTGTTTGCCTACAAAGAGTACCTCGCCTTCCTTGTGCTGGCCATGGCCCTGGGCTGGGCGAACATGCTCTACTACACACGCGGCTTCCAGTCCATGGGCATGTACAGTGTCATGATCCAGAAGGTGTGTGGGGCTGTGCGTGGTGCGGGGATGGAGCGGGGAAACTGAGGTCTGGAGAGAGGAAGCAGCTTCACAAGGGGCAGCTCTCTGCTCTTTCTGCTGAATGCCACAGTCATTTTTTGCTTTGGTCAGGCTTTCCGTGTCCAGACCTTAAAATGCTCATGCTTGCTGGACATTGAGAAGGGACACACTTTGTGAAAAACTGTTCTCCCTCTGGGCAGTGGTGTGCTGGAAAATATTTAACAATTGTTCTGTGGCAATGTGTGTATGGAAATATATATATATGTATATACAATATGCATATATATATGCATACATGGATATATGTGTATATGGATATACACACAGGGAAGTAAAATGTACAAACATGCATTTATTAGAAATAAAATTATAAATTTTACTTACAAAGGGCATGTAACATACAATCTACAGATAATGATAAAATATACAATACACTTTATTATAAATTTCACATAACCAGTTGAGTATCACAGAATAATTTGTTACTTTTATTGAATTTTTATATCTGTTACCAGCCCATGGTTGCAGTTGATGAACGAGTGTGTTCTTTTCTGGTGTGAATGTTGGTTCATATTTTATAAGCAGTAAGATGATAGTGAAACAGTGAAGATTTATGTTGGAACTTTACTTGTTTGTCAGTGATGTGAGCAACTTCTTTTTAAAAAATTTTTTTATTTTAAAGCGACTGGGACAAAACAAAACAAAACAGATCAGAACAAAACAATGCAAGCAACACAAGATTTCAAAGTGAGATTAGAAAATCAATAGTGGCTACCAAGCTGTCTCTATGAAATAGAAATACCATGTTGTTTCTACGAAATAGTTGTCCATGTCTTCACACACAGTGCAACTTCTTTACTGAGTTGGATACTTGGCAAATACTAGAAGAATATCTTGTTAATATGTGTGTGTTATTCATAATATAATGATACAGAAGGACATATTTTAAAATTTAATCCGCCTTAACATTTCTTCTATCACTGTCTTAAATCTAGATGTGGAAACCAACAAAATAATGAGTCAATCTCTCATTTGTAGCATTTACCAATCTTTATGAAAATATTCCTCCTATGCACAATTTCCAGCTAACAACTTCATGTCACTGAACACAGGTTTAGGGTAGACCTGCAGCTACACATCATTACAGCTTTCCCTTCATATGGCTACAACAGTTGTAGCAACCTCAAACCAGAGACAGTTACAAAATGCAGTAGAAGAACTAGGAAGTGATAAGTTTTGAAAATTTATTTTTAACATAATTTACTTATTTATAAGTTTATATGATTAAACTTGTTTTGGAGTACAAATTATTTTTTTCCCTCTGCTTTATTGAAGTATGGTTGGTAAGTAAATTTGTGTAAACTTTAGGTGTGCAGTGTAAGGTCTGTGTACATAGTGTAAAATGATCACCAAGCTTAAGTTAGTTAGCACACTCATCACATCACACAGTTTTTGTTTGTGCATGTGTGATAAGAACATTGAAGTCCTCCTGACACATTTCAAGTATGCAATCTGATAACGTTAACTGTTTTACATTATATCCCTAGAACTTATTCATCTTATAATGAAAGTTTGATTTAGCTCCTAATAATGGCTGTGCTTAACACTCAACCCACAAAACTCATCAAAATTCAACAGTCAGCTCTTGCGAACTGTCAGAGCTGGCTCCAGCACACCACTGCTTCTAGAAGTGTGAGGACAATAGGTGTGAGACCCTGTGGAGAGAGAGAGTGAACTAGAGACTCATCCTGATGCTCCCCAGGAGGTGCAGGAAAGAACCTGGGGTTGGGGCAGACCTGCAAGACTTTCTGGAGGAGGCGGGCCCTAAGCTGAGTTTGGGAGTATCGGGACAAATATGGAATCTTCCAGGTGAAGGGAGAGTAGGGGGGATTAGGGTGAGGTTCTAGGAGAAGATGGGAGGTTTGTGCTCACGTCTTACACTTGAATCTTGTTTGTTTCTTTATAGGTCATTCTGCATGATGTCCTGAAGTTCTTGTTTGTATATATCGTGTTCTTACTGGGATTTGGCGTAGGTAATTAATGCATTATTAATAGCAACTCCTACGAATATAAAGCACTTCATGCAGATGTCATAACTGCAAAGCACACAGCAGCCTCAGCAGTGGCCTTATCAGTTAGCAACGGGACACTTGCCACTTTAGTGTTTTCCAGGCAGTCTCATTTTAAAATTCTCTCCACAACTTGATCAAGGGAAATCATCACCCCTGACTCCAAGGTAACCGAGGCCCACCATTCTTACCTATCACGTTGAGTAATCTGCCTCCCACTTTCATGCTCATGGTCGGTGGCCCTTGCAACCTGAGACAGGCTTGGCCGGTGTTTCCAACCTACTTAACAGATAGGACAACCAAAGTTCTCAAGGATTTGATTGATGGCCTTCAAAACTGGGGTACAGTAACACACTGAGGAAACTGCATTTGTCCTTCCATATCTTGTTACCACCACAGTTTGCTTCAGATAACTATGAGAGCCCCTGGTTAGCCAGGGACAAAGAGTGGGGACTCATCTCTTAAAAACTTTCCATTTACAGTGGACAGAATCTCACAACCTGATTTCATGTCTAACTTCTTTATAGAGGGCTATAGTTTCCTGGCCCACCCCATTTCCCCAGCAATCATTGACATTTGAAATTAGATAGCTGCTAACACCTGCCTGGTACCTTTTCTGGGTTAGAATTGCTTATTTACTGGCTCCCTCATCTGCTCAGCCATGTATCCGTGCATTTGCTCACACAAATGCAGTTTGCTTGCCTGCTTGTGTACTGAGCGATGGGCCACTACTGCGCTGTGTTGGGATGAGGAGGATGAGGCTGGGCCTTGCTTCTCCATTACAAAGAGACTCAGGATTTCCACTCTTGAGGGAGGAACCCAGCTGCAGGAAGTCAGGAGCTCAAAGAGTAGCTGGGGAGTGGTGAACACGCACGTAGATTATAATAGGCAGTTCTCCAGGACCACAAGGAAACAAAGTTGAACTGTGGAGCAGAGGAGGAAGAAGAAAGGGTGCTTTTTTGGGCAGGCAGGGCTTTCTGTAGGAGGTTAGGGTAGAGAAACCAGTTTTAGGAGGCTTCTGAGGGCCCCGAGGCAGGAAATCGGAGTTAATAGGCCAGAAAGAAGGAAGAAAAAAACTTGCTCTGTGAGTGTGTGTGTGTGTGTGTGTGTGTGTGTGTGTGTACACATTTGCATGAGCTTGTCAGGTAATGAACCAAGCAAAGAGGGTGAGAGAATGCCTGTTCTGTCCTCCCAGCCCTTGCCTCGCTGATCGAGAAGTGTTCTGATGGTAACAAGGACTGCAGCTCCTATGGCAGCTTCAGTGATGCCGTGCTGGAGCTCTTTAAGCTCACCATAGGCCTGGGTGACCTGAAAATTCAGCAGAACTCCACCTACCCCATCCTGTTCCTATTCCTGCTCATCACCTATGTCATCCTCACCTTTGTCCTCCTCCTCAACATGCTCATTGCACTGATGGGGGAGACCGTGGAGAATGTCTCCAAGGAGAGTGAGCGCATCTGGCGGCTGCAGGTGAGCTAGGCACAGGGTTAGCGCATGCTCACGAGTAGCTATCAGCACTGTTGGGCTGGGGGACTGGGAGCCATGTGTGAAGAAGCCTGGCTCTTTGAGTACAGGGTCTACGATGTGTGAGAGAAAGCCCGGCTTGTGGGATGCTCTGCTCTTTATTAAGTGTGATATGTGAGTGCTGCAGGGTGACCTGAGGTTGCACTAAGAGGAGTCTAAGACTTAAAACAATGAAAGCAACAGCTCTGCTGTGCTCCACCCTGGTCTTAATGCTCCTTACCCACCAAGGGCACAATCTGTAGGATGGGTCCAGACGTGGTGACCAAGTTTGGAAGAGGACTGGAGACTGTGTCTCATAAGAAACGGTTGTTGGAATAAGAGTATCTGTAGAGGCACCTGTGAAAGAGGGATCAGCCCCCTTCCATGGCTCCCTACGTCAGAACTGTGGCACATGGGGGAGTTACAGGGAGAAAAGCTTTAATTAGGCACAAGATAGTTAATCATTCTTACAACCTTCTTAATTGGATTGAGACTATTCTAGAGAGATTGAACAAATGAAGGCCAGGAGAACTGCTGGGGGAATTTCAATCCTGGGAGGCGGTGTAGAACTATGTGAAATCTGAACTTGCCCCTTTTGTGGGATTTCAGGACCCTAACATTTCAGTTATTTGAGACATATATCATGCTTAATCAATTGTAACATCTTTATCAAACTTTCAGCTCCTTCATTTTTGAACTCTGTAGACTAGGTGAGTGTTCGGGATCTGTCATTAAGCATCCAGCCAGGATAGAGGGACTGTTTAATGTATGTGTGTGTGCAACACTCCTATGGAGCTGTGTCTGTCGGGCTGGCACTGATCAAGGAGCTCAGCCTTGTTTACGTCCACAGAGAGCCAGGACAATCTTGGAGTTTGAGAAAATGTTACCAGAATGGCTGAGGAGCAGATTCCGGATGGGAGAACTGTGCAAAGTGGCAGAAGATGACTTCCGTTTGTGTCTGCGGTAACAAAGAGGAAGGGCACTCTGGTGGCAGTCTTTGGGGAGGGTAAAGGGACAAGCCAGCTAACAATGTCAGAGAAACAAGCTGTCACTCACTTGCCATAACCACCCTACTGCCTCCTGTGACCTCCTCAGAAGATGAAATTTGCTCTTCTGTGGTCCTGGCTTGGGATAAGGGTTCTCAAACTTCAGGAGGGAGAGAGGAGACCACCACTGGTGGGTCCCTTCTCTGCCCTTTCGGGGCTGCCTCTGTGACCTTCTCTGTCTAGTGTCTGGCATAGAAAAGGCTTGCCAACCTGATAGTCTTTCTGCTACACTGTGTTGGTTTCTACCTTGTGTGCGTTCCTGTGACACTAGGGAACCTGGGGCATATTTATTGCCACGAGACAGAAAGTGAGACAGCTACTTTCCACAGATTTCAAGCTTTCTGATTTTTAAAAAAGTCTTTGGACACCCCAGAACCTCCTTTTCAGAAAAGCTTGTCTTCCTACTTGAGTGCTAACCCTACAGATGCTCTCTTCTGACTATAATTTAAAAGTTTTAGTCTTTTTCTCTGACTGTGGTTCCTATCCCTGCAAACCATCACTTTCGACTGTAACAAGTTCTCTAACAAAAATGTCTGATTTGGAGACTTTTACTCTAGAAATGGTACTTTTGTGCAAACTTAAGTGAAACCTGTGTTTCCAGCTGTGCTTTAACACAGTGGATACTGCCTGCTTCCTCTGCGGGGTGAACGCCGAACACCTTCTCTCAGGGCAGCTTTAGTCCTGGCTGAACTTCCTTAATCTAACCCTTCTGCCTTCTCAGCCTGGGCCCTTCCTATGTGCACCCCGTTTTCTCTGTGAGCTCCCTCTCACCAGTCATGCACACTTGTTGATGTCTGAAGATGGACCCTTTCCCCTACCTGAGCAACTTTCAGGATTTCTGGGTCCCAGAGTATGGGACTATGTGACATTGAACTTTCCCCTACAATGGAAGAACTCTGTGAAGTGGGAATTGAGGGTCAGACAGGCTTTAGACCCTAATGATTCTGGTGTGACTATACAGTACAGGAGTATTCTGTTCCTGGGATGGACAGAGCGGGGCTCTGTAGAAGCTAAGACATCTGAGTGCAGTGCTAGTATTTGTTTGGACTTCATAAGGCTCGGTTGTGAAGTGGTGAGAACAGTGATCACACTTGCAGGATCAACGAGGTGAAGTGGACCGAATGGAAAACACACGTCTCCTTCCTCAATGAAGATCCGGGGCCCATCAGACGGACAGGTACTGTTGCTGTGAGGCACTGTGGGGTCTGAGAGGGCCCTGATTTCCCCTTCTGTGAAATGGAAGTGTTGAATTAGATTGGTTCTTAGGTCCCTTCCAGATCAAACACTTTCTAATCCTAATTGGTACATCTTCTTAACATGAAGTGGTGGGACCTGGGGTTGTAGCTGAGTAGTAGAATATGTGCTAATTCTGTGTCAGGTCTGAGGTTCCAATCTCAGCACCACCACCAGAAAAAAATTATACTAACATGTGCAAACATGGAATGCAGAGAGATGCACTTCTAAAGTGGTTTTTTCTTTTCCTTATTTTTTTTTAAAGTGGATTTCAACAAAATCCAAGATTCTTCCAGGAGCAACAGCAAAACGACTCTCAATGCATTTGAGGAAATAGATGAATTTCCAGAAACGTCAGTGTAGGAGCAGAAGCGAGAACAGATGCGATAGTGAGCTGTCTGATGCTGCAGGCAGAGTCCTGCCTGAACTCTGCTGAGGGTCTGTGCAGAGTGGCGATCCGGAAGCTGGCCATACCCTCCTGTTGAGCGGACAGCTGTGCCCAGAGGCGGCTCTCAGTGCAGGGTTGGGAGACACTTGAGTTCTGTTACTCAGCAGAATTAGTGTGAACCCATGGGCAGCAGTCCTGAGCACAGGGGTATCCTAAGGTCAGAGTTGACATCCGTGGTTTGAACAGTTGCAGACTGGCTTCACTGGGAGAGATGGGCACTGGAGAAGGGGCCTCTGGAGGGAGAAGGCAGTCTTTTATCTCAGCAGCGTGCCCTTGTCAGCTCAACCCCAGCTGACAGAATGCCCTGTTGTGCTGGGCCTCTTGGGCTTGTGAGAGAATTTTGGTCCCATCCCAGGATGTTCAGAGGACTGTAAGCCAAGCTGGACATCCTTGGGGAGGAGGGGGTATGTGTTAGGGGAAAGCCCTTCCAGAAGTTTTAGGAAACAGAAAACCACCCTTGGAATGAAACCCAAGGCTCAAACTGTCTCAAACTGAGAGATGTTTTTAGTAGCGTAATTTACACAGGTTTTTAACTTTTAATAGAAAATACATTTCAGTTTTTAATGCAAATTACTTCAGATGAAGTAGGTGATATTAAAGCTGAGAAATAGATCTTGGGCTTTGGGCTGGATGTAAGTATTATATACTTAGCTTTAGGATGGCCAGAGCAAGGGCAAACAGCTTTATTCATGTCCACATGAGCGTACAGGAGCCAGGCTGCCATCTGGGTGAAAGGGCTTGGCCCCTTTCCCTTCGTGTCTTGCTGTAGTGTGGGCCTTTGAGCTGTGACCATGGCTTCCTCTGAAAGAGAAATAGCAGCTCTGTCTACGTGGTCTTAATCTCAGAGGTCTTAATCTCAGACGCATTCATGCGTCTCACTGTGGGATTTAACACAATATCTGACATGCTCTGGTACCAAGTATTTTGTTAACTGTGAATTTTGAAGCTGTGGGGGAAGGCTTATGAGACAAACTTGTGCCAAGACTTAGAGTTTATTTTTAGATCCTCATCCTGAGATTTTCTGCCTGGTGAAATTCCAGAGTTAGTCTGGGGGCAGAAGTGAGGAGACAATTGAGGAAATTTGGTAGAGCACAAACAAACAAACAAACAAACAAAAATCTACTGTCCTCTAGTATCCTAGTGAAAGAATTCACGTGGGAAATTTTGAGGTATAATTATTGGGATAGTCACTGTGAATTTTAAGTGGTACAAAGATAAAATGGGGCCTTCAGATCACTTGGCAATTTGTGAGTTAACCTGACTTGAGGCAAACCTGAGCCCAGGCCAAGCACTCAGTGCACCCTGGGCCCTTTCCCCACTCCAGGATGCTCTGTCAGCTTAGCTAGAGGAGTAGGACTTGGCCAGCATTTCTCTGATGGGCCAGGGTGAGGGAGGATGGGGAGATGGGGCCGTCCCAGCCTTGTTTGCAGCAGCCCTTGTGTGTTCAGCTTCTCAGGGAGTCATTAGTCTTCTCCGTGTATGGTCAGACCTGGTTCAGATGTGAGCAGGGAAGATGGGAGGGAGATATCATGGGAGCAAAAGGGTCAGATGTGTTCTAGATGGGCAGGACTAGTGAAAAAACCAGAGAAATATTTTTTTTTAAATCTTTTTATCGGTACCGGGGATCGAACTCATGACCGTCTGCTTGCAAGGCAGCTGCTTATGCCACTGAGCTAAATCCCCAGCCCCTAGAGAAATATTTTGATTCCATTAAGTTTTCAGCTACTCTAGATACTGGAGATATTTCAACAGAAGATGGTTAAACACTTATGTGAGATTTTATTGAAGAAAATATCTGGATGAATTTTAAGAGCCTCTTTGGCCTATGGTTTGTTCAAATAGCATTCCTCAGCTAGTGTTACCTCCTTACATTTATCCTGAACAGAAGTCCTGGGTTGAAGGGCAGCCATTTGGGCTGTGGAGCTGGGAATTCCAGAATTGCTTTGACTGAAATATTAACAGAAAAGGCCATAGGATCATCCATTTTCTATTTGGATAAAAGCTGGGAGGTTAGGCAAATTGAAATTAATAACTGGATCTTTGTCTTCTGACATATCTTGGAGTGCTGCCATTTATCTGTGGTCTGGATGGAATTTGCTGGCAAGATCTTTTTCTACACTGGATGTTTTTCTCAACAGTGGCCTTCCCCAAAGGCTGGAAAGTCTGCCCCTACATAGATTTACCAAGACAGAGAGAAGCAGTGAATCAAAAAATCATCCTAGTAAAAAGGACTAATTTCTTCATTTTATACTTGGAGACTAAAACTCTGAAAGGAACACGGACTTATTCAAAGACATGGAGGAGGTCGTGTAAAAGTAGTTGAATGTTTTGATTCCTGGATCACAGACATCTACCCCTGCACTATTTTTAGCATAGTTAATTCTGTAAATTTGAGTTTATTTTTGTGTTTGGCCCATAGCAGGGATTGACTTTTTGCTCAGATGATTTATTTGGCAGTCAGAATTCTCCCTATGATTCTTATGACTGGTCTAAAATCCAAGTGTACATAGAGTTGTGCACAAAAATATACATGTGTGCACCCCACTGAACCTCTGAATCTATCAGGATGTATTAAAATCCCACAATTTACATTTAAGTAACATAAGGGGGAGATTATTTTAGGCACGGGATCTCCCATGCACAGACAGTGGTCTTGTTGGCAAATCTTGTTTTACCTCAACTTTTCCTCGGGAAGAATTCATTATTGTAGGCATCATGTCACTTGACTGTTTGGAATAAAAAATGTGCCAATCTTCTCTCCTGTGATGTGGAAGAAGATGTGCAAGGCTGTACTGTGAAGTTGTTAAGCTCTTAGAAGGCACCCCAGAGAGTACAGTATTACTGACGTCCCTGTCCTTCCTCAAGGCCCGGTGGGACTGTGTCCTTTTGCTCTGGGCCGGGCCCAGGCAGATGGGTGGTCATCTGGGCCTGTACGCCATACTTGACTACATGGATTTACATATTTTAACTGTGATCTTGGTTCCAAGTACAGAACTGGCACTCTGTTCTTGTTGAATGTTCCTGATTTTTAAAAATTCTCTTATAGAGGCATTCCAAATGTTTGTATGTGAAACTCTATGTTCAGGAAAGAAATCATAAGAAGAGTAAGACTTATTTTAGCACCATCATTTTTATTTCTAATAAATATTTATTTTGCCTTGTTCTGGCTATGTTTTATTTTTGTGTTGTGTGAAAATGAAGACTGACTAGAAAGGCTTGAGTGCCACTTTTAGGAGTGGAAAAAAGGGAAGCTGGCTTTCGGGCCTGGAACATTCTTACTAGTCCTGGCTCAGGGGCAGAGCCACTGGCATGCTCTAAAACATGTCACCTTCAAGCGGCGTCTGTGTCTCAAAGTGATGCGTGTCTGGTACCCCATTTGTATCACTCAGCAACCTTGGAAGCAGCTCGAATAAAGGACTCAGAGCCAGATAATAGTGATTCTGGCTGAGACCCAAGAGGTGCTCTATTGGTGTCCTGCTGGCTCTTAGTTCAGTTTGAGTGAATATAAACCCATGGCTCCACCTGGAGACAGGAAGGTGTAAATCCCTGCCCTACCCACAGGATTTTCACAAAGAAGCAATGAAAGAATAGATATGAATGGGCTGGTATTGTGAGTATCAGTGTTACTCACCAGCCCAACTCATAGGCATATTTTTCATTTTATTGAATTAATGTGTAAGGATAGCTGTTCTCATCTGGAATCCCATGACACTATTTTGTCATGATGGGCCAGGAACTTACAACTCATTTATTAATAAGTGAAATACTGACTTGTTTACTTCATTCAAATGAGTCTCCAAATTCCTTCCTCACTGGGATGTGACTTAGTGAATAGCAAAGAAATTTTATACCAGTCACATCCTTAGCTTGAATAGGTTTTAGTTCATAATGTAGGAATGTGTCATCCATGAGAAATTCTAGGTAGGCTGATAGAAAAAGATATAAACACCTCCTGTTAGATATATTTCTGGTATAGGGGCCTTTATGTCAATGAACTTGGATATTTTTATGGCTCTTGGCACTGTGAAAAGTTACCTTCTGCACTATAAAGCTCTCTCATTCATTTACACTATTTTGTAGGTTTGGCACTGTATCCCAATTTAGTGGGTAGGGACCTGAGACCTGGAGACACAGTGTCAAGAGATAAGCCTTTGCTCACTGGACCAGACTACTTCCTGGACAGTGACCACAAAGCTCTGCAAAGAGGAGGGGTCCAGAGCGGTGCCACAACAGTGTATCTTTCATGTCATCCTTTGCGACATAGCGATGGTCTCAAGAGTGTAGAATGGAGTGAATTCTCTTGGGAGTGGTAGGGAGAACACTCAGTGACAGAGAAAGAAGGAAAAAAGAAGGCAGAGACACTGGTTGAATGTGAAGACATCTCCATAGAGAAAGAATGTCTGAGCATAGTGATTTATTTAACTGAACTTTATTGGGCACTTATTAGATTGCTGTTAACGTCCACAGATGGGACAGAGGTGAGGAAGGCAAAGGGGCAATCAGGTCATGGAAAGGGAGACTGAGAAGGCTTGTATGTGGGAGTTGCATTGCATTTTGAAGGAAACTCAGGAATTACTAGGATAAGTAGGTTTGGGATGGCAGGTGAAGGAAGGATAGGGAGAAGATTCAATCTGGATGAAGGCATATAAGAACGAACAGTGGGAAGGGCACTGGGACAGAAAGAAAGGAAGGGAGGCGCGACTGGAGAGCTTGTGGGGGATGGAGGGGCAGACCATGAAGGGCCTTTTGTGCTAAGTTTGAGAGCTTGAATAATAAGTACAAACTCTGTGCTGGAAGCTGAGCTAAGGGCTTACATGCATTTTCCTGGTTAATCCTCGCCATAACCCTGCAAGCGAAGCACTGGTACTGTGATCATACTCATTTTATAAATGAGAGAGTCGAATCTGAGATTGTTAGAAATACTCAAAACAGAACTGAAAGTGGCTAAAACCACACAGTGATGTGTTACAGAGTTTTAAAAAATTACATAAAATTAGAAACATTAAAGACTATACAGATTAAGCCAGGGAAAGACTAGACTTGATAAAAATAATACAAAAACTGGATTCACATTGTACAGTTTACAAAAATTAAAATCTGAGGGAAGAATAAAGCCTTTTTGCCAAAACTTAAATTTGGAAAAACTGATCCAGGGAAGGTGGATTCTGAAATAAAATAAAATGAGATCTTCCCCATGGGGCAAGGGGACATAGTAAAACACATACATGACAGCCAATTGACAAATGAGATTTTTATTATAACATTTAGAATGGAGTCTATTCCAGTAAATATAGAGTATACCATAAATGCTGAAAAATTTAGAAAATGCTTAATTGTGTTCTATAAAGCATTAAAAATGGAGTGCAATTGGTTTAGTGGAGTTTGCTCCAGAAGAATGAGAATGTTTGTGAGTATTCCAGGTAATTTTAGTGTTTTCGATAAATATATTAGAAGCCATAAACATGCGTTTCTTGGGGTCCAGGTTGTGGGATAAAAATGCTGTGGCCATGGGCCGGGGATTTAGCTCAGCAGCAATGTGCCTGCATAACAAGCTCAAGGTCCTGAGTTTGAGTCTCGGTCCCTTCCCTCCCCCCCACAAAAAATTGCTGTGGCCTGAGAGGAGAAAGGAGAACATCCCACAAGGCAAGGATGGAGAAGGGGCAGGCAGTGCTCAGCCGCAGGTGCTCCAAGGAGGAGAATTGCCAGAGGTGGGAAAATTCTTTCAAAACAAGCAGGGACAGCTGCAAAGAATTTGCTTCTCCCAAATCGTCCACGCTGAGAAGAGTAGTCAGCTTCTCAAGGTATGTATGTGAGACTTCAGGGTTTCTGGGTGTATTTGTACGCCAACATTACAATCAGCCCTCATGTCTTTTTCACATCCTGCCTGCAAAAGAGCATTTAAAAATCTCCTACAGATATCACGACTGTTGCTAAAGTCAGTAGATTGGATACTTAATCTATTGTCATTAATTCAAATATGAAAAAATAAAAAAACAAGTCTATACCATTGCTTTCTAAAAGGACTTATGTGTTATTTGAAAATGCACATTTTATTTTATGTCATCAATAACTTTGCACACATATATGTTGAATTATTTAGAATGTTAAACTATCAAAGTGTCATGTTTAAAAGCTGCATGGAAACAGAAAGAACATTTTTTGAATAAACTACATACATAAAGTATGATTTGAAAGAGACACATTCATTTATTCTCTTTCTAAAGAAACTGATCTAGGGGTCTACCAAGCCAGGCATGGAAGTGGAAGTTTAGACGTGTAGAGCTTTTCAAGAAATTCTGTAGTAACCGTTGCACTAGCAGTGATTTCTAGTGGAAAGAGGAGCGAATACGTTTGGCATTGAGTGTTAGTTTAGTTGCCTTTGCGAAAGCTTCTTTCTTTTCATAATATGCAGCTTCGTTCACAAACACTGGGTACACGGTATGGTCTCCGCCCAATGGAATAGTCTTTCCGTCAAGAGTCACAAACACAGGGTCCCCAGGGTGTAATGGTTTCCAGTCTTGATCCTCTCAAGAGACAGTTAAAATAGAAAACATTACATTTGATTTTTCTCCTGCTTTAAAAACTTTTAACATCAGATCCTAAGCGACTAGCAAGTAGTATTAAAAGAGACAGCTGAAGGATGCTGAGAGACAAGTGTCATGACCGCTCTGAGACTGTTGTTAATTAAGCTATTAAGCACTATTAAGAATTTTGCTTTTACTTTTTAGACAACACATATAATTAAAGTTTGCTTCAATACCAAGTTTTCCTTGAATGTCGCCGAAGAGATTTATAATATTAAAAAGCAAAACTAAATTCATGCTGACTTAAGTGCATATTTTACTTCCTGCCAATGGAAGTGAAATTTTGTTAAGTAAAATTTGGGAAATATCCATTCAGAGCTTTCTGTGTATGAAACATCCTCCTGCTGGGGATGTAACCATGAGTCACGATGTACTGTCATGCAAGGAAATTCTGTTCCAATTGGAACTAGTGAGAGAGGTGAGTGGGCTTGGGGAAAGTCTCAGGTGAGGTAGCTTGTGTTCAAAATGTGCCCCACATTAGATGCTAACTGTGTTATTTGGAAGGTTCCACATCAGCAATGCAGCCCTTTCAGCCTTTGAACACTGACACCGTCACATCACAGAATCCCTAGAATAGTTCTCCAATGTGGGTGTGTTTGCAAATCATTTTGTTAAAATGCAGGTTTTTGTTCTATAGGTCAGGTGCAGCCTGAGGTCCTGAATTTCCAACATTTCCCAGCAGCATCAGTGTCACCCAGGAGTTTGATGTGATCAACATCAAATAAATTTGAGCAAAATTTGCAATCTGTTTCTCTAGGAGGTTCCTGCCATCAGCTCCCAACTTGCTTCAGAACCCCAGTACCTAAACCTTGAATGGATTAATCAATAATAACAAATGAAGGAGGAAGAAAAGGCTTTTGGAAGAGTTAAGAAATCTATGGCTGGATAAAATCTAAAATGTCCACTCCCCATTGTGAGAACCCTAATACATTCCTAGACCTCAGAGAAGAGGAGATGTTACCTAGTGTGGGGCTTTCATCCCTCACCACACATTACTTAGAAAGCTTTTTAAAAAATAACAGTGACAAGAGTCCTCTCTGAGATACTCTGATCTCAATTGACTTGGGTAATCATGGTTGAAAACCACTGATGCATTTCAAATCCCCACTTAATGACTCTAATAGTCACTCAGACTTGCAACTTAATAAAGCATCCTGCCCACAAATATACACTTGTGGAGTAGATCCTGCTTTATGGTTTAATGGGACCCAGGTAAAAACTAGACGAAGGAACCTTAGACAACATTTTAAGGGAAAGATAAAGACTGAGAGAGAGAAAGGAAGAAAGCATTATACAGGACAAAAATATCAAGTGTAAGGAACACAGACTGAGGTGATGATGTCATAACAGGCTAACACTGGGGATTTTTAAAATTTTAGGAGTACAAAAATAACCTTGGGGAGCCTGAGAGATGAGATTAGTAACCTACAAGGTTAATAACAGGTCCTGGAAGTTAAAGAAAGATAGTTTGGAATTGATAGACAACAAGGAATGATTTGTTCTACAGGAGAAATTGATTGGTTGATTATCTGAGTATCTTTGAATAATTATTAAGGCTATTATGAATCCTGAGTTTCAAGAGAGGCAAGGTCCCTCATGGAGTTCTCAGGCTCATGAAGTAAACAATGTATAAATCAGTTCATCTCAAATAGTATTAAGTGCAATAAAAGAAATAAACAGGGAAATATAGCAGAGGGTAACAAAGGGTTCCAGTTAGATGGAGGGATCAGAATTCATTGGAATAGAAAGGTGAGAAGTCAGTCACAGCAAAAACACAGGCAAATTCCCTGGGCTGGAGATTCAGAAATGCAGCTCCTCTCTCACAGTACAGCTCTGAGCCATAACAGGCACCATTGCTCCTTGATGGGACAGAGGTGGGATGTAGGAGGGCAAAAGCAAGGAGGAGGTGTAAGGAGGAGGGATGGCTCTCCACAGGGCACTACAGATATACCATGTGTATAAGAAACTAGAGGTGGGGTATTCCAAGTCTGGGTGTTGATCGCAGGGAGGCGGCAGCAATGTACCAGCTGTAAAGACCATCAGTTCTGGGTCTGTCATTGATACCTATGTGGCTATAGGAGAGCTGTAAATTTCTGAACCTCTACTTTCTTTTATTAAAATAGACATAATAATTTTTACTCATTGCTCATGGGTAAGACTTCCACTTTTGTTCTGTTGCACCATCTGGCTCTACATTTCTAGACTGTTGCTGAGACTTCAGTATATCCAGTCCAGTAATGGTAAATCCGTTTGAGAAAAAGTGCCCAAACTGCAATCCCAGACCCACTTAATTATTGCAAAGTGCCAACACTGCAATTAAACCTGAATACTGAGGTTTCAGTTTAGAAAAACCAACTGTTATTCGATGCTCAGCTACTGCAGAGACATGGGTTGTGTGGCCACAGAGAGAGTTCTATGTACCTGGCTCAGCATGCATGCTATAGATTTTACAGGACCTAGATTGTAGGTTCCGTGAGAGTAGAAACCATGGTCAGTGGTATATCTCCAGAGCCACCACAGAGTACTGGGCAAAGCTCTTAATATATTTTTGCTATCATTTGAATATGGCTAATGTCATCCAAAGGTCCGTGTGCTAAAGGTTTGGTCTTCCTGTGATGCTGCTGGCAGGTGCTATGGATCTTTAGGAGCTGGAACCTTGTGAGAGGTCATTAGGTCACTGAGAATGTGCTTTTGAAGTAGATGATGGACATCAGTCTCTGAAGTTGCTCTCTGCTTTCTGGAGTCTAATGTGAGTTGCTGCTCCACCAAAAGCTCCCCACCATTTCCATCCAGTGTCCATACCAGAAGCAAAAGCAATTGGACCACCTGATCCTGGTTATGAGATCTCCATAAGCTTGAGCTAAATAACCCTTTTCTTTTTGTAAGTTAATTGCTTCAGGTATTTTGTTATAGTAATGGAAGGCTGATTAATACACTTCCCTACACTACAGTGTTTTTGGGAACATCAAAATTACCTAATGTATATAAAGTGCTATTTGAACTATTGAACTGAACTCAAAGGTAGAACATTATGATTTTCAATATTTTAAAGAAATATCAAAAGTTACCTGCAGGTTAGGATGGATAATAGCAGCAACTTCTCCATTTTCATTCCTGGGAAAATCAACTTTCTCCATTATTTTATAGGCCTCAATAGTGCAGGGAGGAAATTCTTTTCCTATGATGAAATAATATATTGCAAGAGCAACTAAAAAAAGTTGATACTTTAAAGAAAGAAAAATAACAAGAGAAATGAACACAACTATAAAGAGAACAAACTGAGTTTAGTTAAAGATGTTCAGAAACAACACAGGGCCAAAAGATGTTCAGGAATTATTCCTGATATACTTCCCACAAATACACTGATGGAGAGACAGAGATGGAAAGCAGAATTTATAAAGGACAATGTGAGCAAAAAAGAGCTTGTAACTGTGGATCAGGTACCCTGGGTTCTGTTTTGGTTGTGTCATCTTTTTGTTTTTCCCTAGTTGTGTGATTTTGAGCAGGACATTTATCTGCTAGAGGCCTGTTTTCATTTCCATCTAGTGAAGGTTCTGAGTTAGCTCAGCTTGGAGCACCCTCCCAAGTTCTGACTTTCAGGACTGTGTATTTCCAGGAGGACTTCCTGCAGGTCAGGTGGCTTCAGTGCAGTGGCTCTTCCTTCTAACTACATGTATTAAATACTCAAACCGCTCCTGAGCAGTGAGCCCTGGAGATGTAGGTAGCCTGGCAGCAGTGGAGTCCAACTTCCAAACACACAGCAATATCAGAGTACGGAGTGCCCAGAAACATGAAAAAGGAGTCATTGCTCAGACAAACTCTGAGTAAAAAGGATGAATTTGGGCCCAATGGAGGGCCACTGTGTACAACTCAAAGGGAAGTGTTCCTTTGCCCTCAGCACAGAGACAGGATGAAGGAACCCAGATAATCACTCACGCTCAGCTAGCTTTTGCTACATAGCACATTACCCGAGAACTTAGCAGCTTAAAACAGCCACCTCCTAATTCAACTCATGATTCTGTGTTGCTGGGCAGTTTCTTTGGACTGGCTTTGCTGTTTTCTGGCTACCTTGTTCTTGTGTTTGGAGTGAGCGGTCAGATCAGCTAGAGGCTGGTGATCTGAGAGGGCCTCATTGTTGGGTCTGGCATTTGACAGTGCGAGCTGCAGGATTATTGGCTGGGGTGTCTGATTTTCTATCTTATGGCCTTTACTATCTGGCAGAGTAGTGTGGGCTGATTCCCATGATGGCCGTACACAGTTTCTAAGAGCTGCAAAAGAACGAGTCTCAATGTGCAAATTTTTCTTAAAGCTCTTCCGTGGCACCAAACAAGTCAGACGGCCAAGTCAGATTCAAGGGGTTGGGGAAGAACTCCCCAGCTGATGCAAAGATGGGAAATGAGTTATACTGGATAACCATTATGGAAATCACTATGGAGACTTCTCAAAGAATTAAAATTAGAGGCTAGGTATGGTTGTGCACAAAAGTAGTCTTAGCACTCAGGAGGTTGAGGCAGGAGGATTCTGTGAGTTTGAGGCCAGCCTAGGCTGCAAAGTGAGTTCAAGGCCGACTGAACTGCATAGTGAGAACCTGTCTCAAAAAGACAAAAACCCACCCACCCAACCAACAACAACAACATAAAACCCAACCCAAACCAAACAGAAAACTCCCCAACAAACTGAAATTAGAAATTCTGTATTATCCAGAAGTTCTCTTTCCCAAAGAGCTCGACTCATCACACTACAGCGAAGCCTGCATACAAATATTGTCAGCAGCATAATAACTAATAGCTGAATCCTGGAAGCAGTTGGCATATCCATCAATGGATGGTTAGAGAAAGAAAAAGTGGTATTGAGCTGGGGATTTAGCTCAGTGGCTCAAGAGCTTGCCTGCCAAACGTGAGGTCATGAGTTCGATCCTTGGTACCAAAAAAATAATAAATAAATAAAAGAAGGAAAATGTGTTATCTGTATATAAAGCATACTACTTGGCTATAAAAAGTGACAAATTTGAGACATTTGTAGAAAATGGGTGTTTGAGTGTTGAGTGAAATAACATAGACACACAAGCTTAAATACCATATGGTGTCTCTTATCTAAGTGAAGGAAAGTACAAACTGAGAAAATGATACAGGACGGATAGAAAGGGACAAGGAAATGGGTCTCTTGGAATAAGGAAGTGGCCCAAGAAAACAAGGGAGAGAGGTGAAGAGGACAAGAAGGGAAATAAGTAGTATAAAGATATGCCATGTACAGGAACCTAATAACCCCAACTAGTGTAAATATTATATACCATAACATGAGCTAAGATTAAATAATATCAGTAAGAGTGAAAAATGGCATAGAGAATCTAGGAGGGGGGAGAAGGAGATAAAAAGAGAGAAACATGCTGTGATATGTGCTTATAACCATTCCCCAAGATGACTGCAAACCATATGAACTGCAAACAGGTACAAGAAAAATAAAAAATTGATTGGGTCTGAAAATGGCGGCGAGCTAGGGGATCGAGCGAAGAGTCTCTCCAGAGAATTCAAACTCAAAGCTAAAAAAAAAGACAGCATGGAGAGGACCAGACAAATCGATAGCGATTCTTATTAACCAAGACAGTACAGCTGGAGGATTTAAAGTCGTGCTGAGACCGGAGGCTGCAAATCCCGCGCCCTTAAATCAACAAACAGACTCGTGGACCCAGCACGAAAAGCTGAGTTGCTTTTGGGGACTGCGGGAAACTGAGACCCAGATCGAGACTCCAAGTAGCAGCCAGTTCTGCACCGCTGCACCAGAGCGGATGCACAAAGCTCTGGCGTTTCAAATCTAAACGGTACACAGAAATCTGACCGGTCAGCGCTGAGCCGCGAGTGGGGGAAAAGTGGACAGCTTGGTGTGCGGCGGTCCCGGAACGAGGACTTGCACCGGACTCTGGTGAGTACAGAAAACCCCGCGGCTGCTGGGTTTGGCCAGAGAACAGCTGGCCCGCCACCACGGGGAAATCAATAACACAGAGTCTGGTGCAGACATATTAGCCTGGCGGCAGAAATCGCAGCTTGGTGACATCACCAGGTCCCCCTGTAGGGAGGGCTGGTGGAAGACATCTTGAGTCCTGGCAGAGCCTGATTACTTGCTGGCTTCAGCTCCGCACAGAGAACTTAGTGGGAGCCATCTTGGTTTTGGGCAGATCTGCTTTTCTGGTGCTCCTATCACAGAGAGGTTTGGAAGAGAACGGCTGGGACCTGGGCAGAATCCTGTGCCATTACTCAGCTGCTTCTGATTCAAAGAGAACTGGCAGGAGCTACTGGGGCTAAACCAAGCCTCGGCTTGGGGCCCAATAAGCAGATACAAAATAGTCACAACTCAGTGACAACCAGAAAGTACAGCCTAATTTATGAACTAACTGACACAGAGGCTAGAGACTAGACAGTACCGCCCCTACATCCCAGCCTACCCCAGATAACAGCAAATTGGGGAGGACAGCAAAAACTCAAGCCAGCACGCTTCTGAAAGGCCCTAAGCAATTCGGAGAGGGCCAGAGAACTCCAGGACAGTCTGAAAGAAACCAGAAACATGACAAGAGATAAAAATAAAAAAAAATCTCCAGCTGTTCAACAGGAGAAATTAAACCCAAGAGAACTAAACACTGAAGAGAACAAACACAGTAACCACCCTCTACTCGACACAGCATCAGCCGAAATTAAAAAGTACTTACATGATCTCATAGAGGAATTTAAAGATGTACTCCTGATCCAAGTGAGGCAAGATATAAAGAGATTAATTAAAGAAATGACAAGCCCCACCCAAGAGAACACAGATGGAAGAACTGAGGAAATCAGAAAAGAAAGAGAAGCATCTGAAGAAGAATTTAAGCATAACTTAGAATACATGAAACAGATCCAAAGAGAATATCAGGAAACTAAAAACTCCATTGAATATTGGCAAAATGCCTTGACAGAAACTAAAGACAACCTTCTGAAACTTGAAGAGAGATTTAGGGCTTATGAACGTGAAAGAAAAAGCCTCTTAAAAATAACAAGGAACCAGAAAGAAGCAATTCTAAAACTGGAAGATGATAAAAAGATACATAACCTAAGAATAAAGAATGTGAGTGAGGAAGCAGGAACATCCAAAAATGAAATACAAAAAATATTCACAGAGATATTAAAGCAAAATTTCCCACATATAGCAAAAAGAAATGATATCCAGATAAAAGAAGCATACAGAACGCCAGCTACCTACAACCAAAACAGATCTACGCCTAGGCATATAATAATCGAGACCCCAGAAATCCACCAAAAAAACAGAATATTAAAAGCAGCCAGAGAAAAGATGCAGGTTACCTATAATGGGGAAATCTATCAAAATAACAGCAGACTTATCAACACAAACTCTTAAGTCAAGAAGGGAGTGGGGAGAAATATTCCAAGTCCTGAAGGAAAAAAATATGCAACCTAAGTTCATATATCCGTCAAAACTCTCTCTAAAAATTAATGAAGAAATAAGATACTTTCAAGACAAGGAGGAACTGTGGGAGTTCGTGGCCACCAATCCAACCCTACAGAGAGCGCTGAAGGACATTACAGAGAAAGAGAGGAAGAGATATCAGGATTACAGCTACAGTGGCAGAGAGGCCTCAGTGAACGGGGCAGACCATGGAATGAGGGAATAAGGTGGACAAATTATAGCAGAAAAGTGGAATAGCAGACATGAAGCAGAGACGGTAAGCTAGTCTTTAGTAGAGACAGCTCTGAAACTATATTTAAAAAAAAAAAAGCAGAGGTCATTGCTAATGGTGTATAACGATTTAAAAGACACAGTAGTCCTAGTGCCATATTTAGATTGAATTAAATTTGTTCTGGTCTGTCCACTCATATCAGCTTTGAGGACACAGACCTCTAGAACCAAAAATAGCAGGTTATACCATGGTAACTATCCTTACTTTCCTATTGACTTAGGCTGAAATCCTGTATTACTTACATTGTCTTACTATGACTGATCTTAATTGTATCTGAATCATAAGACTATTGGTTGGCCTTGACTGATCCTATTTGAAATCGGTATGCGTGTTAGAATCAACCCTAAAAGTAGAGGAAACTACTCTGAGCATGACAAGATGTAAAGGATATCCATACTGGTATGAATCAGTAACAGCTCTCAAATACTACAATGCAGTCAAAGATAAGTTTTTATAAAAATAGGTGATAGTATGTTTAACTATAATAAGCCAGTGTTGTCGACAAATCTATTGAAAATAACAAGAGAAAACATAGTAGCTACGGAAGATCATTTATATTATAGTTTTATAAGTCTTATCCATTGCATGTTTATCTAGGAAATTGTTTCGCTGCCTTGTTATGACTTGGTTTTCCCTATAATACAGAGAGGATAGGAACAAATACTCTGAGGAAGAGACCTGAAAAACCGGAGGCTTATTTTGTAGCATTATAATATAAATTCTAGCAATCTATTGCTTGCTGATTAAAATGACTCTGGACTGGTTTCCTCAGCTCAACTTCAGCATATGCAGAGATGGGGACGGCTATCACAAAGAGAATGAGAGATGCGATGGTAGTTGGTATTGTCTTCCCTAATTTGGAACTTGAGGACCTAAAAAGACTCCATCATCCTGTAATGATTTGATTAGTTCTACAATATGCAATAAGTATAGAAAGTGGGTGAAGTTAGGGACAACTATTTGTAAGAAGCTAGAGACAGTTAGATAAGGTAGATCTCCAGTGGACTTGCTTTGAAATCTGTATTTCTTTAAATTGTTTTTTATTTTTTTTTAAATGTTCTGTTCTGTTTTGATATGGTTAACCTTATCCTCTTAGAGATGTAAAACAAATAGGTGGGACTGATAATCATATTACGGAGCTTTTGTTCGGCCATAGAGCAGAATGGTTTGTAGAGTCACTTTTTTGAATGTCATTCTAAATACTTTAATTCTATAACCTGAACAGCCATTTCGAAGATGACAATTTGTAACTTATCAACTGGCAATTTCTTACCTTTTGTTTGTCTGTAATTTAGTATTATTTCTACCCTTTTTTTTTAATCTCCATGTATTTTTTTTCTTTTCCTTCTCTTTAAATAAAAAAAAAAAAAAGAAAAATAAAAAATTAAAAAAATAAAACCTTCAAGAAATTTTTAAAAAAGATGTGGACTGGAGATACCACTGCTTACTCCTGTAGTAGGAACCCATGGGTCATGATTTGTAGACTATGTTTCCAAGTGTTTGTGGCTCTTTACTGGGTGTATCACTTCTTACCATCCTGGAGTTTCGCACTTATGGTTCAAGGATTTCTTGCGAATATTTTGTGACCTTCCAAACACCAATATAGAACCTGTCCTCAGGCAAAGGTAATGAACAACTGATTCTCTGGTTTATGGCTTTGGGATCAAAGGGTTTCTGAGCACAAAAGAAGCTACTGTTATTACAGGAGTGTGCACATGCTGAGGGCAAGGGATTCCTCTCTCTGCCGATGCTGAGCTGCACACTAGCTGAGCTGCTGTCATTACTTACTTCTCAACAATTTCCAAATTGCCTATTAGAAATGTTAGCTAGATAGGATTTCTCGTGGACTTCATTTTAATTTTTTTCAAGTGTAAGATAAACTTTTCTTATAATTAGTAGAATTTAATCTTCAGTACCTTTTAGATTTACTGAATAAGTGAGCACATGAATATAGAATTCCACAGCCTATCTTTCCATCAGTTTCCATGTCATTGTTAGTTACACAAATAATATACGAATGCATTATTCTTGTTGAATGTAATAAAAACAAAATTAGCTTGGTTTATTCTTATCCTACTCTGTAATCATTGTTATTAGTTTGGTGTGTTTTAAGTATTCTAACAAGTGATTATTATTATTTTATGGCAAATTTGTACATTGTGTGATTTGATGTGCAATTTGCTTCCTTTTAGTTAACAACAGATTTTGAAGATTCTTTTATTTGTTAGTTTATTTAACTGTTCGCAACTGGATAGTTGGGTCTTTCTCATTGTTTTGATGTTATAAACAAAACTGCAATGACCACCCTTGTATATAACATCTTGGGTGGGCATAGGTTTCATTGAAATGTGGAAATGCTGGGTCATAAGAATTGCTTATTTTGAGAAGTAGACACTATACAATTATCTTCTACAATGTCTTTATAAATTTTTGTTTGCTATAGCAGGGAATAAAACTACCCTGTTTTCTTGAGCCTTTATTAAAATTTAATATTTTCTCAATATACTGGATGAAAGTGTCTCCTCATTTTAGTGTGCATTGCTCTCATTACTTGTGATGGTGAACATCTTTCTTAGGTTTACTGGACATTTGTATTTCCTAATCTTCCGTTGCTCTTTAGAATGAAAATTAATAGAAAAGTAGATTTGATGGGAACTTCATTTGGCAGTTACATTTCTTGAAATTGAGGAATTTCTTGAAAATTGAGGAATTCCTGAAGTGAATAAAAGTTTTAAAAAGCATATAAGATTGTAAATGAGACAAATTTGATCAGAAGTCTAGTAGCTATTTCAGTGTTTAGACTTGTTTTATGCGCGCGTGCACGCGCGCGCACACACACACACACACACACACAGAGTTAAATGGTGAATATACATTTTTATACAGTCATGTACACACTCACAATTAGAGAAACAGCTCCCATCTACTACTTACCGTCATTGAAATGATGTATAAAGTCAAGAGCATGTTTAATCATTTTTCTCATTTGATCTAAAATATCAGCTCTTAGAACACCTTGGGGTTGGGGGCCAACTTCTATACCTAGGCACAGAAAAGAAGATAGTGTATTTATGTAAGTATTGAAAAATACTGTGAAATTAAGCATTTTATTATATCAAGATCTAGAATTCTATTATTAAAAGTTATTTCAAAGATAGCATCATTTAGCAGCAGGGAAAACATTTGAGTCATAATTTGGGTAACATAAAAGAGAACATTTATATGTCATCTTAAAAACATTTCTCATGCTTAGCTTTTTGTGCATATGTATAGACATTTATTAAAGTATATGCTAATCTATCTATATGCTAATAAATTTGTCAGAACCAAGTATGGCTAAGGTGTGCATCTATGCATAAATGATTTGTGCAAATGTGCAAAACATTGTGTTTATGAATGTGTCTCCGTGTGTATTGTAGAAGATGTTGTTTGCTTACCACAAATTCACTCCACTTCCCACCCTTCCAATAGAATCATAACTTTGGTTGGGTATTCAATCTTCAAGGTAAATGAACTTTTATTTAGTTCAAGAGTAAAAATGTGATAGTTTAAGTCATGTATTGTAATTTTAAAACCTTACTGACCAACTGAAGAATGATCTGTGGCCCAGTTCTAATCAAGGAGTCAGAATGTAAGATCTGCAGAGGAGTTCCTCAGAGTACTCTTCCTCCCACTAGATATTTGCATGTTGGCATATGATATTTGGAGCTACAATGGCCATCTTGTGGCACTTGGGGTCAGCCGATGACATGTTAAAGATGATAAACCAGGAAGATAAAAGAACCTAGTCTCTCCTGATGTTGTTAAGCTGTTATGTAAAACAATAGATCTGTATTATTGTTTAAACCTTTTTGGGTTACCTGAAGCCAAAAGTATTCTTGTCTTTGTGGGAGAGGGAAGGTGTGGTTTGTCAGTCCCACATGAAGAAGGAAAAGTTATGAACTGGTAGGAATGTGGGCTTCACCTAGAAAATCAGTTATTAAAGCTTATTTTTTTTCCCTGAGGAGATAAACATGTTCAGTAGCCATATATACAAAGCCTCTGTAATGAAATCTCCTATCAGAGTAGAACATTTAAATTTGTTGGACATGGCTATGACACAGAAGTGGAGCTGAAGGAAGAATGGTCAAAAAGGTAACTACCAAGTTTCTTTTTTCTTTCTTTCTTTCTTTCTTTCTTTCTTTCTTTCTTTCTTTCTTTCTTTCTTTCTCCTTTCCTTCCTTCCTTTCTTTTTTTTTTTTTTTATACCAGGGACCAAACTCACAACCTTGCACTTGCCAGGCAGGCATTGTGCTACTGAGCTGTATCCCCAACCCATAACTACTGAATTTCAAGTGACAACATAGCTTATCTGGGAAAGGTAGAGGAAGATTGTGTCTAACCACTCTTCCATGTACATAAATGAGAAGAAGAGATAAGGAAGAGGATGGCAGTGATCAGAGGCTGCCTGCAGCACACTGCTTCCTTTTGGAATAAAGTTCACCTCGAGTGACCCTGTCACACCTCAGCCATGGTGACAGTGGAACACAAAGGTGGTCCTTGTAGGTGTTCAGCAGTTAAAGCAAGCTTGCAGGTGTATTAGTCTAGTGTGTTACAAAATGTCAATTCAGAAAGAAGGTATCCCAGTTTTCAGTGTTTTAAAATGATTTATGAATAAAAGTATTCCAAATGATATAACAAAGTTGGAAAAAAACATACTGATATTTCTAGTCATTTATAACACTTAATGCTCCCTCAATTTCCCTATTGAAATGTTTTTAAAGATTTGATTATGTTTAAGGTCCAAACAAGTGAATGGTTATTTCTCTAGCATCATTCCCCATAAATATCATAGATCAAGATTTATTTTTTTCCAAGTTTCCAAGCCTTTTATTTGCTGTGAAAGAGAACCATGATCTCTATCCCCTATTATTATTATTATTATTATTATTATTATTATTATTGGTGTTATCTGATGGTGCCGGGGATTGAACCAAAGACCTCACTCATATTAGGCAAGTGCTTTACCATTGAACTATACCCTTAGCCTCATCCCATATTATTAAGGCTTTGGTTTACCAATTTTGTACCTATATTTAAATATTTAGCTTTCTCCAATTGCAATTGATTAATTCTCTTAACTATGTACCAAAGTATCAATACTTAAATAATTAGAATAATTTTTTAAAATTTCATTTGTCAGGTTGCTCTTAAATTATTCTCAGTTAGACCATCTAAGATATAACAAAAAATTTTAAATTGTAGTAACAATTTTAATTTAGTGTAATCCGAAAATAATTAATTATGCTAATAGATGTGCCAGAAAAGATAATGGAATTATCCCCACTATGACCATTTATAACTCTGTGTAGTAATTATCTGGTTAGTTGTCTATGTTCTTATTAGATATTAAGCTTTTGAGGAAAGGGGGTATGCTGTGTTCATTATTATATCCTCAGCAAATAGCAGAGTGTTATAGTAGACACACAATGAGTATACGTTGAATGCATATATTTTTGGAGTAATGATTATTCTGTAGAGAACATTTTTTTTTTTTTTTTTTTTTTTTTTTTGGTGCTGGGGATTGAACTCGCGACCTCGCATTTTGCCAAGCAGGAACTATGCCACTGAGCTAAACTCCCAGCCCAAGAACATATTTTACTACATCTGTAGAAGGTGATAGTTCACTTGGGTCTTGAGAATGAGAAAAAAATCTGTCAGACCAGTTAAAAATCTGAGAATGAGAAAAAAATCTGTCAGACCAATTAAAAATCTGTCAGGCCAAATATCACAGGAAGGGAAATTAAAAGGGCAAAATGATACAGCTGCTCAGGGAAATTAGGGAATTAGGAATGGAGCCTGCCTATGAATTATAAACCACAGTCACATGCAAGATGTCTATAAATGTTCTTTAAAATAAGTTTATCAGAGTTTCAGCTATGATATATTTTATTCATTTACAATAATAGCAAATATGACTTACCCACAGGATACTTGGCTATAGAACGGGTGGTTGCATATTTGAGGGAAGGATGTTCAATAAGATAAACATTGCAGGATAATGGAGCCAAAGAGGTCTGAAAAGAATTCAATATAACTTTTTCATAATGTAAAGATGGTATGTTTTGTTCTCTCTTCTATTTCAGAGTCAGCAATGCCTTGAATATGATATACTTTGTCTAAGACTAATCAGACAGCTTTATGAAACACATGATAAAATTTGATGTTATTATAGCTTTGAAAGCACACAAATTAATTAAACTTAAAATTTAATTATATGTAGCTTTCTGGGCAAAATGTGCATCAAATGATGCTCTAAAATCATGAACAAAGAATACGAAATACATCTTCTTCTTGAAAGGATTTGGTTGCTTTTGTTTTTATCAGTGGGTAGACTTACTATTTAGCTTACTATTGGTCTCTTGAAGGATTCTATTTCTGCCCTTATGTCCAGTTCTCTAAAGATGCTGGGTTATGTCCCTTCGTCATGCTTATTGGAATGAGACTTTGTGTCAGTTCTGACTGTGGTGATTATCAGCCAAGTTGCTGTCTGGCAAACAAAGCATGCAGCCTTTCTCCAGTGAGCAACAGAGAACTGCTACATTAGGATCTTCTACTAGAACAGTCTCCAGTTATTGTCAAAAACTCAATTAAAAAATAATAGCTAGGTATTGCCCTAGGCTAAGTATTCAGTTAAACACTTTAGAGACTTCATCGTTTTGGAGGATTTTAGTTTCCATTTGGAGTAAGTGTTATTATTTTGACAACTTTGTAAAATGAAGGGAGCTAACTTTTGAGTTGAGCATCTTGTACAAGGTTTGTGAGAAAGTCAGTATTTAAACATAGGTTCTCTTGGCTACATGAATCAAACTTTTCCCACTCAATCATACTAGTTCTCAGAAAGGAAGAATATTTATTATACAGAATTAACAATTCACTATTTGTGTTTTTGCTTGGTTGTTATTTTTGAAACAAGTATTCTGTAGCTAGAAGCATTAGGTTGTCAACTTTTTCACCTTACAGATTTCTGAGCCTTACAATGGTTATTGAATTGAAGTATACACCAAATATTAAATGTGTGCTGGGGCATCTGAATCAAGTAGCAACAAGGGCAGGACTAAAGAGAACACTGCAGTCCTTTTACCATCAACATCAAATAACAAGTTCTTGAGCTTCCTAATCCCTGAAATCGAGATACGTTAGCTATACCACTGGCATTTTTACCAAATAGCTAATGATTTGGTGGCCATTAGGGTAAAATGTTAATTTTGTAGACACAAGGGTTTTGTTTTTATTCATTGTATTTATCATTTTCCTCCCTTTCTCCTGTCTGTCACGAGTGCTTCTGCATTCTGGTACAACTTCCCACTTGACTTCACAGCCTGGCTTTGGCATAGATCCCATTTCTTGTAGACCTTCCTTCCTTCCTTCCATTTTCCTCCATTGTTTTGCAACTACAATTGACTTAAAAGTACAGATACTAAACTAACTTCTAAATTAGTAACATAGAAGTTACCTTAATATAATGAAACATCTGAATTAAAAAGTCATTCTTGGAATCTTCAAGAATAAGAGTGCATCCCATGTTAGAAGTGGTATTGTGGAGGTCAAAAATGATGTCGTAGGAACCTTTGCTATCTTTTGGACCAAATAAATGATTTATTTCTTGAGCCCTTCTCACTTCATATGGCAAATCCTCTGACATTTTCTTGCTGTTATTAACAGAAAAAGATTAACAACTTCTGAGACTAAGGCATTGTAAATATACAACAAGAATACAGGGTACAAAGAATCAGTTCACAAAACTTTAATATGAAACATTTGTGGGGAAAGTGAAAACCTGTCCGAACCCTTTGTTAGTAAAAAAAAAAAAAAATCACACTTTTTCTCCATTTAATTCTATACAACCAATATTGCATTGGCACATGTACAAAATAAGTTGCCCTATGTTACTTGTCATAGGTTATTATAGTTTATGTTTGGATAGTCCCCCAAGCCTCATGCAGTCATGGAGGCAGCTGAATCTAGTGTTTGTGGTTGGTTTGTTGTCTAGTTCTGGGATTGGTGGTTTGAGTGCTGCACCTGTCCAGGGGCAGGTAGACAGCATACTATATAAGAGAAGAAGGATACGTGCTTTGTCCTTTTTACTGTTTGCTCTTGAGCTTGTGATGGCTATGCAACACCATGCCATCCTGCCTTGGAGCCAGCTGAGTATGAACTAGAACCACCAAAAACTGTAAGATTTCCTTCTTTTATTTTGGGTGTCAGGTATTTTGTCTCAGCAATGAGAGAAAAATAACTAAGACATACGTGGAATATTTCAAACAAAGTTTATCATTGGACTTCAACCTTGAGCAAAATTTATCCATTAATTTTGCAGTTTCTTAGAAGTTACAGCACATTTGTTACTTATTATAGGGATAGGCCATGAGGATGAATCTTTTAGAGACCAAGTGCCAAAGTGCAATCCAAATCCACTTAATTATGGCAATGTGCCAACATTGTAATTAAACCTGAATACAGAGGTTTTAGTTTAGAAAAACAGCTCACACATTAAGATATTTTGTCTTAAAAGTAATACCCAATAACCTGTGTGCTGTGTACTTGGTACCACCCCATTTCACTGTAGCTAATTCTACTCCACAAAAATAGTCAAACTTACGTGCTCCCTCATCTTAATTAGGATTTTTAATTGAAAGGTAGGAGCTTTCAGTGCTCCAGGGACAAGGTTTATAGATGAGTCTGTAAATCTTCCAAAAATATGAAACACAGGAGTGTAAACACATATGTATTCTGGGGGCGGGGCTCACGAGCTTTTATTGTATTCTCAATCGAACTTCTATTCACCCTCTCCTCACTTCCTGCAATGATTAGGGTGCATTTTTTTTCTTGCTGTGCTTGACAGTAGTTCAAGTTTATTTTCCTTCATTAAGGCACACAATGTATTTTCCAATAATTCCACCTACTTCTACCCCTAGCTAATTTTGTTAGTGTGTTCAAGGGATCAAAGTTTGTACCCGAGTTTTTCCTACTTGGAACATGATCAAAAAGGTGGAACAGCCATTTTGTAACTATGAGGCAAAAATCATGAGGACAAAAATGTGCATGTGAGGAAGAGTATAGATGGAATACAGAAGGAACCTGTAACACTGGCAATATCATGAAGCCACAGAACCAGTCCTGGACTGCCTAACTTTGGACTTACTATTTATGAACAAGGAATTGGGTTTCTATTATATGCAATAAAATGTATTCATATACATTTTACAAGTTAATTCATGAAATATGCATGAATATATACATCACTCTAACCTCTTTGGATAATGGCACCACTACTCACGTAATTGTTTAGAATCAAGGCTTGCAGTTTTGAAAAATGATGGACATTGAGTTCCTATGCCTGGAGGCCAATATCACTAGAAAATCCCAGAGGATGAGGTACTATTAGGTATAATAAGTTGCTTAGATCTATTCTGGATAGGAGATTTAAAAAGAATTTTCAGTAGGACAAAGGCATATGATCTACATGTTAGGATGATCCCTATGGCTACCATATAGAGAAACTATATCCTGGAGGACTACAATAAGACTGAGTGCAGAAGTATCCACAGAAGAAACAAACTAAAGTAATGAATGGGGGAGAAAGATTGAGTTTGAAAAGCTATTGCAAACATTGAGAGGACACAGTAACTCACTAGACATGGTGAGGCTGAAGGTGACATGAGAAAGTTCTAAGATAATTTCTGTAAGGACTTTGGTGGGTGATGGTGTCATCACTGAGATTAAGAATACAGGCATGGTGCACACCTGTAATTTCAGTACTTAGGAGGCTAAGGCAGGAGGATCGTTGTGAGTGTGAAGCTACCCTGAGTTAAATAAGGGAGTTCAAGCCAGCTGCACTGTATGATCAGACCTTGTCTTAAAAAGATAAAAAAAGAATACAGGAAAGAAATACAGTTAGGAGAGGAAGAATAGAGGAAATTAATTAGCTCACCTCTTACAAATTTCCATAATTACTTTGAGAGTGGACTCTAGCCTCTGAATAGTGTTCAGAGTAGAAAGCATAACATGAATTTACTTGGGAAGTTAATATGACAAGTAAGCAGTTATTCTTCAACAAACTCCTACTTGTAAAATATAAGTTAATAGCTATTGTAATTTCATATATGTTTTGTTGAGATATAGCTTCCATCAGGAAGATAAAGCATTTCATAAATAAAAATTTATGCTAGTAAAATTATTATTTGATGCACAATCAGGCCTATTTTAAATTGTCCTGAAAAACACCTATTCCATAAAATGAACATATTTGTATTACAAGTAGTATTCATCTTTTGTTCTGTGATGGAACTAAACCTAAGCAACTTTCTAACTCAAATTAGCATTTATCAGAAACCAAGTACATCAAGCTGCATGGTTAGATGTTCCTGCGAGTGTCTTGTGTCTTAGCCAGTCGTCTCTGAACTCATGGAAGGCAAAAAACATCCTGTACCCAGCTTTAGATTCCCATAGTACCAGGTACGGTGAGTAGAACAGATGTTCAGAATAAACTAGGCAAAACTAGAAGTGGCAAAACATAAACTTGGAGGCATTTACAGTGGTCACTATTATGATATATATAAGGGCAAAATGATTAGTAAGCGCCCACCTAGAATATTATGATTATGCACACTGTATTGCAAATCAGCTGCAGTGCAGAGTCAGAAAGTTCAAGGACGTGTCCTTAGCTCTCAATCCCCATTTATGCGAATGGTGTCATCATCCTTACTACACACGAAGTGGCCTGACGTTTTCTGGCAATGGGTACTTTTTGACTTATTCAGCAAATATTACCATGTTTTTCTGAATGAGAACTTTATGTACTATCATAAGCACAGTCAAATGAAAACACAGTAGTGAATTTCCTAGAAAGCCAACACATACATACACAAGCACAGTGGCCAAATACTAATCTAATATAAAGATTTACTAAATAGGCATCTTTAAAGATATAATTTTTTTTGTCTTTTTCATTTTTATTGGTACCAGGGATCGAACTCACGACCGCCTGCTTGCAAGGCAGGTGCTTATGCTGCTGAGCTAAACCTCCAGCCCTTTAAAGATATAATTTTAAAAAATCTTTCTTATCGTCTTAGTCCACATAGAATTCATTTACAAAGACAAATCAATTAAGAGAAATGCAGTGTGTTAAGTAGTTCATAAAAGACCACGCAAGTCCTCAGTTTTGGTAACTTCATAATTCACAATTATGATCAAGCACGATTGAAAGTGAAAGTGTTCTTATCCCACTATCGCCATTATATGTATGAATGTGGCTATTTATCATGCACACGTGTTCCTTATCTCACTTCTATCACTTTTCACACACACACACACATACAATATAAGAAGTATTCTTACCCAAGATTTTCAAGGTCAAAAACACGATTTAGGTCACAGTCAATATATCTCATACACTTCTCCACTGCTCTTGGGTTAGTAATAAATGGTTTTACTTCCAGACCTGTTCTCTGAATTTCAGCGCCATCCCGTAGCCAGTGTTTAACTAGAAATACTCCTGTGAGCTCATTTCCGTGAGTTCCTCCAAAGATAGCAATCTTTTTAATAGGTTTTTCCATTTTACCAGAAGTTTTATCTGATTTCTGCAATTCAGACGAGAAGATCAAAGAAAGCTTGTTTCCTAAGAAAAGTTTAGGAATTTAAATCTTAGCAAGGATTTAACCAAAGTGCAAGGTACTGAGTTCCCTTGAGTGAAGTCTTTTTAAAACTTTCTAGTAGAAATTCCGAGCTTTGTTTATTATCTAGACACTGACTTCTGTAGCCCTGCCCTTTACCATATTTGGATTAAAATATGCAAAGATCAACTAAAGATACAGCTGTTAAAGTCTAACTCCCTCAGATGGTCAGTAGATCTAAGTACAACAATAAATTAGCATGTCCTACAAATACAGAAATTGTTTTCCTTTAGCTAGAATGTTATCCATGGTATTTTAATGACTATTTATGATGATAAAAGCTTTCACATTTATAACCCCAAAGTATTAAAAAGTATCTATCTATCTATCTATCTATCTATCTATCTATCTATCTAATTCTCCACTGATATTTACAAACATTTCTTCTCTGAGATGAGCTCAGGTACTTTTAATGATCTGAAAGGCACTTGAGTGTCTACTCTAAGCAGCTAAAGGCAAATGCTCAGGCATTTCTTGAGCCAGCTTGTCTTCTTTCAGAATGCTTTTTCATAATTAGAAACACAAGGACTCAATCAATGATCACCAGGACTTAAAAAGCTATTTTGAATCATCTTTTGTTGCTCATGAATTTTTTGGTAATTGTGTATCAACCTCTGAGGAATCTTGCCTAAACGCCAAAGGAAAAGCAAGTGTTAGTAATGCATGGAAGTCTCCCTATGCCTGAAAAATATTTTGGGACGTACTGTATACATTAACATCATGTGAGTTAGCATAGACACAGCCTCATGTGCTGACAATAGCGACTCTCCACTAGAATGTGTTCAAACAGGGACCTTATTAGAAGAAATAATCTGGAATACTAAAATGATTACATACCTTTGGAAAATCACTCTGAGCCAAATCTGATTTGATTTCATGTTCAATCACCCAGAAAGTCAGTATGTTCAAGGGTTGGAAATGCTATGTATTAGTAATGCTGGATTGTTTGATAGGGGTATGAAAAGAGTAATTCATTACAATTTCAGGGTGGTTAATTTGTAACATTCTTCTACATACATTAACCCGGTTTATTTATATACCTATGCTATAAAATGGGATGGATTACATATTGACATCTGCATTATAGAAGTAAAGAGAGGTTAAATAACCTGATTAAGTTTTCACAACTGTATAAGAGAAAATTAGGCCTGAGGCTCATGTTTCTGATTAAGTCCAGTGTTTTCCACAGGACAACAGGGTGCCTCTTGGTTATTTTTGGTTTCCTCTGAAGTTCTAATTTTGCTCTTTTGGAATTCACAGTCACCACAAGGCTCAAGAAGTGAGCATACAAGCAAAATACACAGTAGAAACACACAACATAGATGCTTAATAATATTTAATAAACCAATTTCTGTATTTTTTCTTTAAGATATTATAATGCAGAGACATGGAAAGAAAAATGAAAAAATCTTTTTTTTTTTTGTCTTTTTTTCGTTTTTATCGGTACCAGGGATCGAACTCACGACTGCCTGTTTGTAAGGCAGGCACCTATGCCGCTGAGCTAAATCCCCAGCCCCAAAATGAAAAAAATCTTAAGTTTGCATGTTAAAATTCCTGATCTAACTTAAGACAAAGACCCTGCAGCTTTTCATTTTCTATCCACGTCAGTGTACACTAAACATTTCATACAGTTTAGAGATGATGAAAACATACATAAATGTAAAGAGCTGACAGCTGTATTGCTACTTTAAGAGCAGTAACTGTGGCGACACTGACATGCTCTGTGTTTTGCTCTCCTGCTGATTTGTAGTTTGCTCTGTCCTTTGCCCTAGTCTCTCTGGAAAAGCTGCTTCAGTTATTTACTTGTAGCTGGCCCAAATGATTTGCATTTTGAAACTTGTTTTATGGAATTTTAACAGGTCAGCATTTTGAAGCACATTTCACATTTGTACAGTTTCTGTTGCATGTCCAAATGAATAACTTACTGAAGATTTAATGAATTTCAGTAATTATTTCCTATACTTACCTTGTTTATTGTGTACAGAGTTTGTCTTCTGCCAAAAGCTTTATTAGAAAAAGGAGAGCATTTCCTTAGAACTAGAGCAACAGAGGCTTTTCATACTCTTACACTAAGTTTACTTCCAAAAGATTTTTAACTCTCTGTTTCCCAAAGCATACTTGAATTTTGAGGATACTTGACTTTTGGATACAGTTGTATTAGTTTAGTTCTTTTTTGATAGTTCAGAGAATTAGTAGTATAAAAGATGAAACCTTGTCTAAGGTTGTCACTGTCTTAGTATTGAGAATTTAATATTTTGAAGTACTTAAGAGTAAATGTGATAACTGTCAATATTTACAAATGTTTTGTACAGATGAAGGTGCCTGATTTATTAATAAAACAATGTAATTTAAAATAAAAGAAGGGTAAATTTTTACTTCATAGTTATGACTGTTCAATAGATTGATGCTAGAAATTTAGTAGGAGATAAATTTAAGGTGGATTGTTTCCTAAATAGTATGACTAGGTGATAAGGAGGGTTTTCTTTTCAGGACAAGGATAAGGATGGAAAAGTTTATAAACTGTTAGCAAAGGCTTCCTATTGTTCATGACGGCATTCCTTAAAGATGTAGTTCAGAATATTTGGTGTCATGGGCCTAAAGGCATTTTGTTGTTGTTTTCTCAAACAAAAATCTGTTTTTGTTTTTTGGGAAAGGAGCAGGTGTTTGTATGTATGTATATCTATATCAAGCCAAAATACATTTCCTTGAAGTTTATACTCATGCTTTTGGCAAGTCTATCTGAAATATAGATGAATAACAAGTCTTTTCAGACATTTTATTGTTTGAAGTTCCCTTTTTGAATTTAAAAGATGACTCCATTCCTTCAAAGATTATTCCTTAATCGGCTATTATTTGATCTGAAAATAACTTTAATTATATCTCCTAAAACTCTTCTTTATTTGAGTTAATTTTCAAGGAAACTGATATGATGTATTGTTATCTCATAGTCTGAGATCTTTACTAATAACCTTTCTTTTTGTCTGAGATCTCTGTCTCATTCATATATCCCAGTCTTCCAGTGACAGCATAACATTAGAATATAGTTTTTGAACTCAGTATAGATTTATGGCACTTGGCCTATAGTAAGTATACAACAAATGGCAAATACTGTTACGAAATACGAGCTAATATTTATTAAACACTTACTATGTGTTCAGACTTCATTTTCTCTTAATATTTTTGAGGCAATTAAGCAAATATTGTACTGCTACTTTTATTTTACTGAGGAAGGAAATGCATAGGGATAAATTACTTAGTCATCTGAACAGGAACTCATAGGTGGGCAGTTTGGAGCTCAGAGCTCTGTGGTTTTACACCATCCCATTTCCTCTGTAGAATCTCTGTGGCTCCTGTGCTCTTTTCTCCTGAGCTCCTGCAGCACTTGCCCTGCCTCTGCCTGACTCATCTGTTTCAGAAATGCAGGCAGACTCGGCAACACACTCATGCCTTGGTTTTCAGGCCTGTGGGCCATGGACTCTTCAGGCATAGCTCAGGGTGCTACTAGCACCACAGAAAGTGAGGTCTAGAGCCTAAAAAATGGCCACGGGGAGCAGGACGGGGAAGAGCCACACTTTTCTGACGCAGACAGGGCACAGGAAGGCTGGGCTGGAGACCTGCCTTTCGCTCAGGTTGACACAGCTGGCTCTTTTTCTCTCTGGTCAAAAGGCTCAAGAGATAAGGCCTTTTTCGCACTATAATTATGCGAAGGTGGTACTTTAACTTTGTCCTTCCTGCCAGAGAGATGCTAACGCCTTTCCAGCTGTCCTCTGACACCTGGTCCATCATTATTGCAAGTGCCCTTGTACCTGAACCCCGTGCACCTGCGTACAGGGCCAGGCCAAGTGCGCCTGCGCGAGGTTGACACCGTCCCGCTCCTGCACCTGCGCATGCGCACAGCTTGACTTCCCGCGCTTTTTCTGAGAGGGGAGGTCAGTCGTCGCTGACCGGCTTCGCTGGAGGACGGTTTGTGGTGGCCTGCGAATGCTGGGAGTAAAATTGCGTGTCATGTTGGCTTGGGGTGTGTGTGGGGTGTCAAGACGGGGCAAACAGTTTGCCGAATCTAGTTACGAAAGTGTTCCCAGTTTCCGGTGGGCTAGGAGGGGCCTTAGTGAGAGAACGTGCACTCTGACTGAAGTCTCTCTGTTCCTGACCTTTAGGGGCCGGAGTAGCGCCTTCTGGCCTCCTTCAGGGGCAGTGGTCTGTGGGCGACATGTGTTTGCTAGGGTGTTTGAGCAAACGGTGCGCATCGCAGACAGCGACCCGGGTACTGAGCCACGCAGGCCCAGTCGGGAGCCAGGGCGCGTGGGCAGCGGGCGGTCTCAGCCTCGGAGTAGCCGTCTGGGAGGACTTGGATTTCCAAAACGGGTTTTCTTTGGCCATTGAGTGATATTTAGAAACATAACTGCCCTTGTACATCTCTTCAGGTCTAGGACGTGCACAGTTGCACTGGTATTGCCGTGTTAAGAAGCAGTGCTGTAATCTTTATTTTGATGCCTGGAGCAGCACCAAGAATATGTTTTAAAGGGCCTCCCAGATCCAGCTTGAGGCCTAAGAGCTGTAAACAAAGCAGAGGAAGTCCGACCTCATGTGGCCCAAATTTTTATACCAGCAATATTTGGAAATTTATTTATCTCAGTTTGAATTGCGTTATTATTTAGTTGTGTTTGTATCTGTTTGTCTTACTGGGTGGTGAGTTTGGCGCAGAAACGCACACATTTAGGTTTCGAGTTTGCTTTTTCAGGCAATGGGCAAGCGTTTGTTGAATTAAATTGGAATTGAAATATTTTAGGCAAAATGAGTGGGAATGATTATGATTATTCTGGATATTGAGCGTTTAGTCTTTGGTTGTCTCAAACTACTGGCCATAATAAATGATCTGTGCAGCATCTTAGAGTTGGGCAAGAGCATATTCTCATATTACTAGTTCAATATTGTATTTTTTTTCTTTCTATAAGTTTTCCTGTACTATAGGCCATTTTCCTCTTTGTATATCTGGTTCAAAATTCCTTATTCTGAAATAAATGCTATAGACTCTGTGAAAATCCACATAGATTTAGGGAGCAGGGTTATAGTCACTCCAGTCTTAATTTATTTTGAGCAGAGCTAAATCATTGTAAATGTATTAAATGAGCTTTCCGTACTTTTACCATCATGCTTTTTAAAAAAGTATTCCTGATCTACTAACTGAGGCCCATGTGCAATAATGATTTTAATGATTTGTCTTGTATTGATGGCAACATTGTTTTGAAGAATATAAAAATGAGGGAAGGGGCTACTTTTTTTTAGTCCTTTTTATATTGAATATTTTATTAGATACATGTTATTCCCTTACCTCCTTTTTGATCAATATTATGCTTGTAATAAAAGAAAACCAGTGAGATAATGTGGAAAATCTAAATCTTCCTACTCTGGAAACATTTTTTTTTTTTGGTGCTTTTGGTTTAAAAGGTAAGTATATGACCCTGTCAGAATCCAAATGGTCAAAAGTTACTGTAAATCTGTTTGTTTTCTCGTTTCATGTGGACTTTTCATAATATCAAATCTGCTATGCAGCTAGGTTAACATTTTAGACAAACATGATTTGACTTTTTATTTAAAAAAAGGCAAAACAGAAAAAAGGGTAGAAATGATACAGAATTACAAAAACATTAAGAAATCATCACTAGCTGATACATTACATATTGTTATCCTAGAAGTAGTTATTCAAGTTACAAAATCAAAGCATAAAAGATTGACTTTTAATATAAACTGTTACAATGCACATCAGTTGTATATAAAAATATTATATATGACAACTTAAATTTAAGAAAAAGGAAAAAAATTTTGAATAGAGCTGGAAAAATGAGTTGTGTTGTAAATTCTTACTCAGAAAAGGATTCCCTAAAGTGTTTACAGTGTGAGGTTTGATAGTAGTTTTAAACCATAATTTCTGTAGTGGGCTGAAAAAATTTTTTTTGTGATATAGATTACAGATTTCTTTCTTTGAAGGTTTAGTCAACCAGCTTCACTTTGTAAAATTGGAATGCTAAAGAAAAATTACAGATTTTGATATTGAAGAAAATGAAGAGAAACCTTAATGAAAATTCAACTCGAAGTACTGCAGGTATTGAACAACTTTATTTTGAAATTATTTGTTTTATATATAAAATGTTAAAAACATACAGTTTATAGATAGACTTTGAAAGGAACTTTTAAATAGAGTTAACCGTTTAACCTGACCTCTTTTCTTTTTAGATCCAAGGAAATAAAGTAGCTTATTCAAGGCAAAATATTCACTGATATAGGTAGAAATAAAATCAGACTTACTTGGGCTTACTATGATGTTTTTTTCTAAAAATTTTGTGTGCTTGAGTAGTTCTATGTTTTTAAGATGAAAACAAAGAAATATATTTTTATTTGTATCTGTGACTGACTTGTTCAGAATATTTCCAGAGCACTTCTATGTCCTGATAGCTTCTTCCATTTCTGCTTTCCAGATTTTTTAGGTAGTCCAAGGGGAGAGGGGAAGAATGAGAATCAGGAAAATGAGCATAATGCACAATGAAGATAATAACTATTATTGTTATTATGGCTGTTGTGTATTCTAGACATTTCATTTTACATATTAATTCACTTAATCCTTATATTAATCCTCTAGAATAGGCTGTTCCTATCATCACTGTTTTCCAGATGAGAAACCAAGTGGCAAAAAGGTTAAATAAGTAATCTGTTCAGTGGCAGGAATCTAGCTTTAGAGTCCCTGCTCTTAATCATTATGTTATTCTGCCACTCAGCATGTCATATTGGCATAAACAGTTTAAGGAAATTACCCACATTTATACTTTGAAGTTGTAATTCAGAGCTACTTTGAAGTAATAACTAAAACACGAGCAGTTTGACTCAAGAGTCTACATAATTCTCCTAGCCTTTCATCAGTGAGTTTTCAGAGTCCATACTCTTCAGTGCAGTGATGATGGCTCAACTGGACAATGGTAGCGTGGCGAGAGATCTGAACTAAGACTTAGGAAGCTTAGGTCCTCACTAGTTCTTCCCATGGATTATTTTAAAGTAGTGAGTAAGGTTTAGGGTCTCTTTTTCTCTGGTTTTATAGTTTATGCTTTTTGACTTTTGGCTTGACTTGAGATTTGCACTTCTCCCATCTGGAGGAAGAAGAGGTGGTATTCCTTCTCATGTGGATTAAATATGTATCATTCTCTATGGCATTTTCAAAATGACCCGTAGAAAAATATCATGACAGACACATGGGGTATAAAATGCAGTTTTGGGTTCCAGATCAAATGTGTTGAAACAAAATTCATAATAGTGGGATTATGGTCTTGGAACCTGCATGTGTCAGATTAAATTTTAGGTAAACTAAACTTTGAGAACAATGACCCTAAGGTTATTTCCAACCTATACAGCAGTGTCTAGTGAAAGCTCAGTGCTTTGTAGATGGCACTTCTTACTGTATCCTCATGTGGCAGAAGCACCAAATAGCTCCCTCTCATCCCACCCATGAAAGCAAAGCCATCACTAATACTATTATATTGTCAGTTTTCAACACAGGAATTTTTAGACCATAGCAGAAAATAAACAGCAACAAATTAAGAGAGACAAAAATGGTTAGGACTTTGGAAAGTGTAGTTCAGAGTTTCGTTCATCATCTTGTGTGTTTTCCAGTTGATAAATTAATAGTCAAGCATGAGAGAAATAGGAAAAACAGTAAGTGAATTGGGGAAGGGTTTGAAGGTGAGAAAAAGACATGGGAATTAAAGAGCAATTAAAGTAATGTTAAGGAAGGTCTTAGACAAATTAGGCTGTTTAGGGTTTAAAAAAGATTATAAAAATCAAGGACATAGAACTATATAATAGATACATTAGCACATGGAAGTAGACATTAAAACTGTGCAGAATTATATATTAGTAATTTTTCTATAAGCATATCTGATTATTTCCCTGTTGCATACTAATTTATTGATACATTCAATATAGGCTGTTTATCTGTACCATTGTTCAATCAGAAAAAAAGGAACAGACAGCCATTAACTTCTAATCCACTTAAAAATGATCCAGGTAGCAGTTCTGCTTCTGACAGTTATGATTTCCCTCCTCTTCCAACAGGTAAGAAAATGAATCAGGTAAAAATTTTCAGGAAATAAGACACAGGATTATAGAAAATTATAAAATTTTTTAAGTGTAATGAATATAGAAAGTTTAAGTTTTTTTTTCCTCCCCATTTTCCAAGTAGAGAGATTATTTGGCTCTCTCTGAACCTTCCAGTACAGGTGCTTCAGTTTCCTAGTTCACAAGGGTGGCCCTTTATATTGCATATCTTAAATCGGAAGTGATTATTCTGGTGAAGTAGTAACCTACATTACCAAGATAGATTTTCTTTTTCAAGACACATATAGAGCCAGCTGTGTGGCACACAGCTGTAATTCCAGAACTTGGGAGGATGAGGCAGAAGAATTGCGGCAAGTTCGAGGTCTACCTGGGCATAAGGAAATGTATATCCTTCTGAATTACTGAATTCTTTAATCTTTCACCAGAGATATATTAAGAGAAAGGACTGTATCAAGACCAGGGTGTTCAAGGCCAGCCTGAAATATGTAGCAAGACTCTGTCTCAAAAAAAAAAAAAAAAAAAAGAAAAAAAGAAAAATAAAAATAAAAAGGAAAATGTGTAGATTTTATGACTTATACATTTTATAGTCAAGTTTGGAAAAATTCAGATTGCTTCAGGAATGGATATTGAGTGTGCATTGAAACACAGAAAAAAATGGAAAAAATAGATTTTAGGAAGAGAAGAAGCCTGAGAATTTTTCTGGTGCTTTGTCCTCGTCTTTTTTCTCCTGTTACAGTATTTTTGCCTTTCTTAATTTGTTGCTCTTTACTCTCTGCTATGGCCTGAAAATCCCTGTGTTGAAAATTGATAATGTAATAGTATTAAAGATGGCTTTGCCCTCTTGAGTGGGATTAGTAACCTTATAAAAAAAGTGTGAGGAAGCTATTTGGTGCTTCTGCCATGCGAGGATACAGTAAGAAGTGCCATGTGTGAAGCAGTAATAGTAGATAGTAGTAGTAGAAGTAGTAGATAGTGAATCTGTTGCACTTTGATCTGGGACTTTTCAGCCTCTAGAGCTATAAAAAGTTCTATTTATAAATTGCTCATCTGAGGCATTTAACCCAAATAGAGGAAGACTTTCCTCTAGTTGCCTTCTTGAAGCTTCAACTAGCCAATGAACTCTTAAGTTGCCATTGTGAAGAATTCACAAAATCTTCTAGTTCTTGGAGGTCATTGATTGATTATCTTCTATATTTCTTGATTAAATCCTAGAGACAAAGATCCTTTGGTTTATGTCTTCTAAGTGAGACTTAAATTTATAACTAGGCCTCTCACCTCTCAACCAGCTGTGATAATGAGAGCTGGGAGATCTTAATGTTTTCTGACTTTACTTTCTGAAAGAAAACATGGACAGGCAGACATTCTGAAATATACATGGTACATGTTGGTTCTATACATCTAATTTTTTAGGTCAGACTTTTAAAAAAGTATTGCTAGAATCTTAACCACTACAACTATCTTTATATATGACAATACTTGTATTGCTAATTTTACTTAATTTGTTCCCATAAATTTTAATGTGGGTTTAAAATGGTTTTTTCTTCTATGATAGAGGAAGTGGAGTATAAAGTTAATATTATTACCATTTTTTTGGATAGAAAATTGGAAATTCACTTAGGTATGTGCAAGTCAACATTTATATGGTCATTCTCTGTCATTTAAAAAATCTCCATTTAGAATATTTTTCTAAGTAGCATGAGTGTTGATCTTTTAAAAATAGAAAAATTTGGCTATTCCATAAGGAAATATACATCCTCTTGAATTGCTGAATTCTTTAATCTCTCACCAGAGATATATTAAGAGAAAGAACTATACCAGTGTTTTTTCAAGTTTCATCTTGACCCATTAGTTAAGCTGAGATACAATCAGTCTGTAAAAAACAAAACAGAACAAGAAATAGGAGAGACTGAAGTAGAGTGGAATAGAAAATACGAATCTGTATCACACATAATAGGAATTAAGTTTGGTACTGAAATTTTGTTATATTCCTTCAAATCAGTAATGGTGAATCTTTTAGAAATGAGTGCCCAAACTTCTACTCAAAACCCACTTCCATATCACAAAGTGCCAGTGCTACAGTTAAGCCTGAATACTTAGGAGGTTTTATTTAGAAAAAACTCATATGTTAACATTTTTCTGTCTTAAAAGAAAAGCAACGTGTGCTATAGCTTTAACACCACTGTCCTACCTGCTTTGTTGGTTTCTTCCTGTCTTTTTCACAAATACTGTGCATCTGTTACAGGTTACAAAGTTCTTTCTTGCTGTGGGGTGGAATAAAAAATGTTTTTTAACATTGAATCAGGTTGAATTCATGTTACAAAGTATAAGATCAGGATTGATTGTGGAAAAGATACAGATTAAACTGTAACTTTTGCTTAAAATACAAGGTGAAAAAATATCTATAAAAATTAGTGACAAACTACAACAAAGTGCTATTAGAGACTATATATTCAAGGTTTTTTTTTAACCTCCCAGATTGAGTAAATATGAAGTAATTATTTAAAAAAATGCTACATGTCTTATTTTTATCTGTGTTCGTATACTTTTGAGATTGGGCCTGGGAAGCTACAAATCCAGAGTTGGCTTCTTTAACGAAAACAGTGAACACAAGGTATGTATAAAAATGTAAACAAATCAATGTGTCTGTTATTGACTGATGTTATTCTTATGTGTATGTTTTACATTTCTGAATTAGAAAATAATATTTAACAAGATATATTCTCTTGAAAGGCAAATACCACCGTCAGTTTCGTGTCCCTTGAAAAGTCAAGGTTCTATGCCTAAATCTATTCAGTCAAATACTGAGAGAAGCCAACATGGTTGGAGGTGAGTTTACTTAAATTTTTTCTTCTTCTTTCCTTTTTCCTCTTTATCTGTTTTCCTTTCTGCCTGTTTCTTCTTTATCTCTTACTACTCTTGGATAGAACTACATTTAGGAAATTTCTACATTAATAACTGTAGCATTTGCAGATAACCTATGCACACCCTGATGTATATTTTAAATCATCCCTAGATTATGTACAATATTTCATACAACATGAAGGAATACATATACAGCTGTTATGTGTTTTGTGTAAGGAAAAATGACAAGGAAAAAGTCTGTATGTATTCAGTACAGATGCTGTTTTCTCCAAATATTTTTGGTCCATGATTGGTCAACTCTGTGGATGCAGAACTTCGGGACATGGAAGGTTAAGTGTGTTCTGTTTTTATCTAGATATTTACCTTTACCAATAAATTTTACTTTCTTGTAATTTAGTGTTGCTGTTTATCATCTTTTTGTTTCACTTTGAACTCTTGTTAGCCTTTATAAAATAATGTATAACCTATTGAGACCTTTATGCATCTCAGTAATTGCTGGACAACCTTAGCTTAAATACTTGTACACTAGAGATTTCCATGTTTTCACACGCATTTGATAAGGGGAAAGAGAATTTCCTTTTCTTTAATAATTAACATGTTGTCTTTTGTGTCACTGTGTCTCTCTACTGCAACAGCTTTGGGGTCTTTACAAGTTTTAGATATGTACTGTTATTCTTTGGAAGAATTTTAGGACACCAGCTACTATTAGGAAATGCTCCTAGAAATGATTCATATGAATTTTGGTTTTATGGTAATTTTAGAGCTGTTAATTTCCCAGTGCTCTGAACTAGAATGATTTGGTAGAGGCTAATAGGATATTCAAAGTGTAGTTTTCATTATCAGAAGAGAATTTACCATGAAGTGAATGATGCTGATCCATCAGAACCTCATTTTCATGTCCACTTCAAAGGTGTGTCCTCATCCATAGGCTAGAGAAGAAAACAGCAATTTGAACAGAGTATAAGCTTTGTAAAGTGCTTGGGGTCATTTATTCTGATAATGGTCCTGGGACTACTACCCTCCATAACAGGTGGCTACTTCTACCTCCTTAGTTCATCTGTTCTCAGAAACAGCTGATTGTTGGGATCCTTGTTGAATGTCTAGACCTATCCTCCCAAAAGGATTTAAGGGAGACAGTGTTTACTGCTCTGCTCAGAATTCATTGTACCTTAGGCTTCATGGCATACTTACAGTATTGAGGACATAGTCAAGTTTGACTGGCTTGTGTAGCAGTATCTTTGAGTATGTGGGGCAAACTAGAAAAGTAAAAGCCTATAGTTCCCTCAGGGCTGGTCCTCAGTCTAGGAATACCTGTGGAGCAAGAACGTTGGAGGAGATTTCCGGAGCACTATTACCAATACGTAGTTGTGAAGCTAAAAGAAAACCTTTTTAGCCTCTGTATAATAAAAATTATTTGAATAGCCATGAATCTGGAAAGACAAATTGTCTGCTTGCTTAAATGAAAATAAAATTTTTTCATATAAAGAAGTGGTCAGTGTAGGAAAAATTCTGTATTGAGACAGTTAATAATCTAGTAATATTTTTGTGGATATTGTGATACCTATGGTATTTATAACTTAAATCAAAGAATGAATTTTAGGAACAGTGGAGGTTAAGAGTAGAATATATTGAGAAAAAGAAAGCTTCTGTCTGAAGAGAAACAGAAGGGGTCCTGAGCAGGTTGCCAAAAGACTGTCTTTTCCAGGGACTTTTATAGAATAAACCCATGGGGCGAGATGGGTTCAAGGTGAGGGAAGACTGGGAACTCACAAAGCAGATGGGCATAAGGTGGGTCATAACTATAGTTAGCCAATAAGATTAATAGTTCAGGTAAAATTGATTAAATTGGGGACAAATGGGAAAGCAAGTCTTGTAGGAAGCGGGCATTCTTAGAGCTGTGACCTTTCCCTTAGGGGGATAGGATGGTGACTCCAGGCTTCCTCAGGGTGATAGGGAACTAATTAGAATATCAGTCTTTAAGGTGCGGAGATGCATTTGTTTGATTCTTTGTCTTGAGGCCTGGCCCACAGAAGGAGGTGTCTGTGTCCCCCACAGTTGTAAGGTATCTGCACTGGCTCCTTTGAGGACCTAGTCCTGTCTCACTGCCTATAATATTTCTTTTTTTTTTTTTTAAGTTTTCTTTTCTTTCTTTTATTTTTTATTTTTGTCTTTTTCATTTTTATCGGTACTAGGGATCGAACTCACGACCGCCTGCTTGCAAGGCAGGTACTTATGCCGCTGAGCTAAATCCCCAGCCCTGCCTATAATATTTCTAACTTGGCTACCTGCAACAATATTTCTAGGAAAATTATTTAGAATTAAGAATTTATGATTCAGACTAGATTTCCCTGTGGAATTCTTAACTAGCCTTCTTGGAAAAATATACTTTTGATTTTTGGTGTCATTGATCTCATTGTCTGATCACAACTCATTTAATGTAGTTATTAAACACTGCCAAACTAATTGGTAACACTTTGTAGCAACATGGTAAAATCACAAAAATATACAACCAAATAGCTACCCTGCATATATTGATTTACTCTGTAATTTAAAATCATGGACAAACTATAGTTAAGTTATTTTACATTATAGAAAAATTTAAAATCAATTTATAAAGAATTAAGCACAAGTCCTCTAAATCTTTCTATTTGAGTACAATTAGTGTAATATGGAAGCTAGTATAGTTTAAAAATACTGGATGTGGTGGGACATACTGTAATTCCAGTACTAGGAGACTGAGGCGGGAGAATCATCATGAGTTTGAGACCAACTTGGGCCACATAAGCAAGTTCAAGGCCAGCCTACATTACATAGTGAGACCTTTTCTCAAACAGAAAAACAAACTGTATACAGTAAGTTCCCAACTTATAAACATTTAAGTTGTGAACTTTCATAGGTATACTGTATAAAACTTTGTTGAATTATGAACAAATCCAGTTTATGAATATTCTGGAACACAGTTCCTAAATTGGAGACTTACTATACTTTGTCTGATTTGGAAGACTAGCATTCTCTGTTTTTGAACTGTCAGTAACATACCAAATTATTTCTTCATTAAACCTCTATCACTTTACCTGGACAGAGGAGTAAATAATATATTGTAGGGTTTTGTGATGTGTTTGGGTTTTCTAACTAGTTAATAGTTACAAAATGGTTAATATACCATACATTGCCATGGAAATGAACTTTTCATAAATTATTTTTAATTTTAAAAAGTATATAGAAATAATTATTTTTATTTTTTATTTTTATTGTAGCTATAGAAATGACAACAAAAATACCAGCATGAAAACTTGGGATAAAAGTGATTTTAGGCCTCAACATAAAAGAACAAGTCTAGTGAAAAATGATGAAATATATTCTATTCCAATGAATTTGGGAGCTCAGCAACAAAAACAATTAGGAATATATGAACCTCATAATTTAATTCATCACAGAGAAACTGAGATGCTCAGACAAACACATTCATCAAAAATATCTGACTATAAAATAAAAAGCCAAAACAAAAGCAGCATATTACAGACGTTTAAGTCTAATTTTCAAGAAAATCAATTTAAGAAACAAATGTTGGATGATTTTCCAGAAGAAAACACTACGAAGGTAAATATTTAAGTATTCATGAATAATTTGCTTGTATTTTTAGAATGTGAGGCAAATACTTGGGAAGTTACAGAGGTAAGAATATTTGAAATTAGTCCTGTGGTATATGTTACTTGATTAGCACAACCTTATAGTTCTACTGGAGTGGGTAAATAACTAGTTTTCACAGTATTTTCTTAGGGTTACGAATGGCTGTTCCTTTTCTTAGTTGCTTTAGAGTTTCATTCTTTTACAGTGTATAGAAGATAGTAGTTTATCCATTGCTTGTAGGACTTATCCAAGCTCTTCATCTATGATTCTAAGTTTTTTTTCAAAAGAGGTCAGAAAACTGTCAGTGTAAGTAGCCAGATAATAAGTGTTTTTGGCCTTCTGGGCCATACTGTCTCTGTTGTACCTATTCACTTAGACCATTTAATTCTGCTACTGTAGCTTGGAAGCAGCTATAGATAATTCATAAATGAATGGACATGGCTGTGTTCTAGCAAAAGTTTTTTGATCTCTGCTTCATAATTTGGTCTTGTTTTACCTACCCATGTTCTATCAGTTTATTGTATGTTCTATCAGTTTTCTGGTGTGCTAGTCATTCTGGACTTCGTAATTTATCTCACTTCCTTTCTGTGCACATTGTTTTAGTTGTTATTGTAAATGTCTTCTATACATTTTGTTTGCTGGTTATTTTCTATCTTCCCTTCCATGTCCTCTGACCCTGTAGATTCTCTACTTGCCCTTCTCTATGCTCTGGATGGCTAGATTGTCCATTGTGATGCATCCTGGGGCCCCTTGTGTGCTGGCTTCTGCTAATAGTCAGTCTGTGGGAGCTACTGGGAGCATATCAAAGGGTAGGAGGAGAGTTTTTCCCACTTTCTCCACACTTAAATGTGTGAGTAGCAGTGGCTGCATCCCTGCAAGCTGTACCCTGTCCGTGAGTTTAGCTTTCATGGGCTTGATAATTTTACTTCCTTTACTTATCCTTTCAGAATAGTAGTCTTTGGGTGCCTAAGTGCTCTCTTTTCCCCCATATGTCTGAAAAAGCAATCTTTTCAATAGGCCATTAGGATAAATTCTGTTTTTGTTTTCTGGAAATGTTACTAATATAACATATTCTACAGTAATTTTCAAATATGTAGTTCCTGTAAGCAAAAAAAAAATATAGTCACTTTAAGTAGCTATGGTATACTCTAGCAGTGATCTTCAACAGGAAGTATTTTTGAATCTTGGTTAGGATAAAGGGAGAAGGGAAAAGTAATTGTAGTTTTAAAAAAAGTCCCATTAGGTAAGTATTCTTCACAACCCTCACCAAGAAAAACCATCTTCTTTTTTTTTTTTTTTTTTTTTTTTTTGTCTTTTTTCATTTTTATCGGTACCGGGGATCGAACTCACGACCGCCTGCTTGCAAGGCAGGTGCTTATGCCGCTGAGCTAAACCCCCAGCCCCAAAACCATCTTCTTTGAGAATTAGTATTTTATACTGTATTCTTAGTTGATCTTCAAAAGAAAAATTCCATGCAAGTTTCTGTTTCAGGATTTTTATACTTGCTATTTTCGCTGTCCCTACTTAACCACCTAATTAAAATAACAATCTGTATCTCTCTATACTTTTATGTTTTTATCTTTTTTTAATTGCTTTTACAGATTAATGGGTTTCATTTTAGCAGGTTCATATATGCATACAACATATTTTATATTCACATTTCCCCATTCATGTCCTATCTTTCCCCTAGATCCATATTTTTTGGGGGCTTCAGTGCATATAATATATTTTGATCACATGTATTTTACCATTACTTGCCCTTAAATTTCCCTCCTCCTGCACCTCTTTCCATTCCTCTTGTCTAGTATTAGTCTCACTTCTACTTTTCTGTCATCTTTTTTAGATTGTACCTGTTAAGGAGGACATGAGCTGTTTGTCTTTTCTGAGCCTGGCTTGTTTAGTTCAACATGGTGTCCAGACCCATCTTTTTTCTTGCAGTGACAAAATTTTGTCTTTATGGGCGAATAATACTCCATTATGTACATATACAGCATTTTCTTTGTCCATTTATCTGTTGATGGACCTTTGGGTTGGTTTTATGTCCTGTCTGTTGTGAATTGTTCTGCAATAAAAATGTTCTACTGTGTTTTTTAATACATAGAATATATTAGTTCCTAATGTTCAATTATGTGTTTATTTTATGAATCCACTTTTTGATTATAACATATGTGAGGGTAGAGAGCTTGTCTGTTTTGTTCACTGTTATTTCCTTAGTAACTTTATTTGGCACAGAGTAGCTGCCCAAAAAAGTGTACATTGAAGTGAATGTACAGAGTATGAGCATATTGGGAAATAGTTTAATCTGTTTATTAGAGAATTGGCACATGATATATATTTAATGAACAAGCAAATAAGTGATAATGAATGAATGATATAGATAATTCTGTCCTTTATCCAAATGCATCCTGGTTTCTTCCACGGTAATGTAATAATGATGGCTTTAATTAGGGGGAGTAATTGTACTGAAACTTTATGTGATTCTTTTGTCATGTTCTGTACATTTACTTAATATAAGGACCTAGAATTTTTACACAGAAGATGAAAGGGTATGGGAAAAAAAACTGTGAAAGCTTTTTCTCATGTTGTGCTTTTATTCTTTCAAAAGGAAATCCCCTTGTGTCAGTTACAATTTAAGAAAAAAAATAATTCTTTAAGAATTATTTCTGCTGTTATTGAAAGCATGAAATACTGGCGTGAACATGCACAGAATGCTGTACTTCTTTTTGAAATATTAGGTATGTACAATTCTTCAAAACTACTTCACTAATACTATTTGGATGTTTTTAGTGTCCATAGGAATACCTAAGGAATCTTTTTTTTTTTTTTTTTTTTTTTTTTTTAATTTTTTTTTTTAAATTTTTATTTAAGGAGAAAAGAAAAGAAAGAAAAAAAACAGTGAAGGGGTACAAGTTATACAGATTTACAGAATAAAAAAAATGCGCAGTAGGAAATCACTAGTTAATGGATTACATATTGCCATCTTAGAAATAATTGTTTAAGTCACAAAATTAAAGCTTGTAGAGTGGACATTCCAACAATGATACTGCAAACAGTTCTGTTCAATGATCCAATAAAACTCTGTGCTATCATTTTCTATCTTATACATTTAAATATACATGCAGTTATATAGTTTAGAGCACTTTCTTTTCCTCTCTTTTGTACAGTGACTATTACACATTTTGGGTTTCATTGCTCCCACGGTTCTTGTTGCTTTTTTTGGAAGAGAGTAAAACCAAATGTGACATAACAGAACAGAATCGGTCAAGTCAAAAGGGTGGACATAATAGATAATATAAAAACATAATACAAGGTGATCAACAATGGTTACCATAATGCCTCCCACTATTTCTAATAGAATTGCCTATATCATTAGTTGTAATACAATTGAACAAAACCGTAAAGAATAAAACCGACAAAACCAAAACATTGGAGATATTGTAGGTCTTCAAAAGTAGATAAAGGTCAACGAGAATGGGCGTTATAATGAATCTCATTATCTTCTCAGCTGATGTCTAAACTTTCGAACCTGATACTATCCAGCAAAACAGAATATAGGAACCTCAGTCAAAAACAAGACGGTGAGAGTAATGCAGGGCTTCAAATCGAGATAATAGAAAGTCAAAGTGGGTTACTATATTATATCCTGCTATATTTTTCCCTTTAATTAAATGGATAAAAATAAAAAAGTAAATAATGGAGTGGAGATTGAGAAAAAGGAGGGCATAACAGCGAAACAGGGCAGATCAAAACATAACCATTTAAGCAGAATAGTGTTTCACCACCAGCTAATCCTGACCCAAAAATAGTTACCGTATTGACTCCCTCCCTGAAGTCCTTGAGTACAACTTCATATACTGTAGCATTAAGTATATCAAAACAATGTAAATCCATTTAAGAGAATGACAGCATTATAGAGTATTTAGAATCGACTAACAGAAAATGAACAATGGTCTCTGTATAATCTCCTTGTCTTTAAAAGGTTTTTTCTTATACTATCGTACATAACAAAATCCAATAAGATACAACCTGTTTAGACCATTGGAGACAGAAGAACAAAAGCTAGATGAGACTTCAAAACAAGATGGTACTAAATCAGCATTACCTATTAAGATGTCATTTTCTCCAAAAAAAGCTGTTCCTATCATCCAATCTTCTGTCTCATTTCTGTTGAGCTCTTTTTCTGTCAGTAGCTGTCAGTTTGTCTTCTTCATTTTGTTCTCTGCTCCATTCGTTGTGGCCTCCCCGCCCCTATTTCTGGGTTCTTTGTATTTTTCTTTTTTTAGAATATCCTGCAATACTTTCTGTAGGGTTGAATTGGTGGTTGCAAATTCCCCCAGTTCCTCTTTATCCTGGAAGCACCTCGTTTTTCCATCAATTTCCAGGGACAGTTGTGCAGGATATCTCAATCTTGGCTGTAGATTATTATCTTTCAAAGCTTGAATTATTTCTCCCCATGCTCTTCGTGATTTGATGGTTTGTGAAGAGAAATCTGCTGTAATTCTGATGGGTCTTCCCTTGTAAGTGATCTGTTTCTTGTCTCTTACAGCTTTTAATATTCTGTTCTTGTATTGAATTTCTGGAATTTTTATTATTATATGCCTGGGTGTTTCTCTGTTAGGGTTGTAGGTAGCTGGGGTCCTGTATGCCTCATACATTTGAGTATCTTTACCTTTTGCTAAATTAGGAAAATTCTCCTGGATTATTTCTGTGAGTAGCTTTTGTAGTTCACTTGTTTGTGTCCCTACTTCTTCTTTTATGTTCTTAATCCTTAAGTTATGGCTCCTCTTGTCATCTTCTTGTCTTTGTATTATTGCTGTGTGTTTCTTTGTTATTTTTAAGAAGTTTTTCATTTCATTCTCCCATGTTTCAAGTCTGCCCTCCAATTCAGATAGTCTGTCCTTAGTTTCTTTCAAGCTGTTATGCCAGTCTTGGGTAGACTTCTTAATTTCTTGATAGTCCCTTTGCACCTGCTTCACATACTCAATGCTTTCTCTGTTTTCTCCATCAAGCAATTCTCCCCTCTTTTTCTGTTCTTCCATTTCACCATCTGCTTTTTCCTGGGTGGTGCTTAGCATTTCTCTAACTATTCTGCATACTTCTAGCTTCAGGTCATTGATAACTTCATTCCTGAATTGGTCTATGAGGCTCTCTAAATGGCGCTTAATGTATATTGGTGCAGTGTCCACCATTGCCTGATTCTCAGGATTGGGGGTCGAGGAGCCTTTTTTGTTGCTTCCCTTCCCCATATTTTCTGTTCCTTATAAAATGTAATCTTACACAGGAGGCCCGGCTTCCCTGCCTGTCAGCCACAGCTTGATCAAATTGCGCTGGCTAGTTGTTCCCGCTCACCGCTGCGCCCCAGGGAGTTGCGGAGGAGGCAGCCTACGCAGGAGTCGGTCGCTCCTCCCGGCCACCGTCAGGCTCTGGGATCTGGGTTAGGCCAGCCTAGGGAGTCCGCGAGCAGCGTCCCTCCGGCTAGGCACCTTTCACCAATCCCGTCCGAGAGGGAAGTGTGCGGCTGCAGTTGCCACCGCGCCCTGCTCTTACAGGACTGCCCGCGCCCAGAAAAACCTCCGCTGGAGTCAAACTGCGGTAGGGAGTCAGTTCCTCGCTCACCTCGCCACCAGTCAGCCTTCCTCCCTGTCCGTCGCGTTTCCGACTCCGTTCGGAGACTCCCGTTCCCAGAGCTCGGTAGTCGCGTCTCTCCTTGCCGAGCCGCTGGCCGCCGGGCGGCGGGAAATCCAGACCGCGGTTTCCGATGGCGCGGGAACTACTCCCGTTCCCAGAGCTCGGCGGTCGCGTCTCTTCTTGCCGAGCCGCTGTGGAGGCGCCGGCCGCCGGACGGCGGGAGATCCAAACCGCGGTTTCCAATGGCGCGGAGTCGAGCCTCCACACCGAGATTTTTCTGTTCCTATTTTAGCGCCAGGACTGTATTCCAAGTTGGATTCTCTCAGCCCAGTTCGTTCCTGAGTCAGCAGAGCATATCTCTACTGGTTCGTATCTCCTTAGTCCGCATCATTCCTGGCCTCTGAGCCGAGTCTTTAGAGAGCATTCAGTAGTTGCTGTTGTCTGTCCGCCATGTTCTCTCAGTCCTCTACCTAAGGAATCTTGAAGAAAAATAAAGTTTGTAAAAGATCATGGATTATTAGAATTTTATTCAGTTTGTGGACCTGTTACTGATTTATGTGAAATAAGTATTAGTTTATTTATAGTAGTATTCTTGTGATCCCTCTGTTAAAACTGAGTAAACTCTTACAGGTAATCCAACTTAATCCCTTGCATTACAGAAGACATGGCCAAATAATTGAAATTAACTGAACTAAAATCACAGTTAGTTGGCAGCAGAAATGGTTGTAGAGCCTGTTTCCTCATTCTTAGTCTAGCATTCTTTGTTACTAATTTTGTATATAAGTTAAATCATATATTGAGAGATCTAAAGCACATTTACGAAGCATACTGATAAGAGAATCTTATAATTTAATCTTTTTCCTAAATTAATATTTTAAGAAGGGAGGCTTTTACAGAATATTTCTGGAATTTGATTGTAAAAAAAGGTAAAACAAGGTATTGAGATTCAAAACATCTCTTTCCATTGTTTGAAATCAGTAACACTTAAATTATTAAGTAACCCAAACATGGAAAAATATAGAAAATATAATCAGTATACATATACCCATATCATAGTTGTAAAGTCCCCTATGTATTTGCTTCTCTAGAGGTAACCACTATAGTATTTCTGTCTATGGTCTATGGTAATTTTATATATCTGATTCTTTAATTTGCTTTATATTATTGTTTTATATGCTATAATTAGTCCTCCTACCTAACAAAAATTTTTGCTAGTCCCTAAAGTATTTTAAAAATTGCTTTTTAAAAATAGTGCCTGGGAGTTGGGCGTGGTGGTGCACACCTGTAATCCCAGCACTTGAGAGGCTGTGGCAGAAGAATTTCCAGAGTTTGAGGCCAGCCTTAGCTACATAGTTCAAAAACCAGCCTGACCTGCATAGAGAGTCTCTGTCTCAAAAAAACAAATGAACAACAGCTACAAAAAAAAAAATAGTGCTTGTGGTAGGCAGAATAATGGTCCTCAAGATGTCTATGTCCTAATTCTTGAAACCTGTGAATGTTATTTGCAAGAGGGAATTTGTTGATGGTGTTAAATTAAGGACCTAAAATGGGAAGATGATCTTGGATTATCTCGGTGCATATACCATAATCACAAGGATCCTTATAAAAGGAGTAGAAAGACCAGCAGCTGTTTGTGGATTTACAGGACTTTTAGCTGACTTTTAGCTGTCAGGTACGCAGTCTCCAAATTGGCTCCCGTAGACTCATCACCAGGCCTGGAAATAAAGCCTTTGCTTCCCAAATTAAAAAAAAAAAAAAAGGAGTAGAAAGGTCAGAGTCAGGAAAGAATTGGAAGATGCTACTCTGCTGGCTTTGAGATGAAGAGTCTCCATCAGAGAATCAGAATGTAGGCAGAAGCTAAAAGTCTCTAAAATGAGCATTCTTGCTGATATTTTAGATTTATACAACACTATCATGTTCTTAGGTAAGTTTCTTCTAGTTACTGTTTCCCAGAAATTAACAAATGACTCTTTGCATGTCATCATTTCTTACTGGTAGCATGCCTATCACTGGAGCCATGAACTATGTAGCTGGGAAATGGAGTATGCTGATTGGCTTAAGTCAGCTCCAGGTCATATCTGGAATTTGGTGGTGGTTGGACAAATCTTATGGCAAAGAATGGAATACGATAGGTTTCTGAAAGGAAAATCTGGGTCTTATAAGGGGAAAGTTAGGCTGAATTCAAAATAACAAATGCTACCAGTACTCAGTAAGTAGCTGTTAAAAAATACATAATGCTATTTGATAAATTTCTAGAGATAAATATGAATTAGGATTTGCATTTTATAGATGAAGAAATGGCTTTGAAGGAAGTTAAGCAATTTGCTCAAAGGAAAGGAAATGGAAAGAGTAGATTGAATGGTGTAAACTTGCAGTTATACAGGATGAAGGTTTAGAAATCTCATGTACTACAAGAGAACTATAGTTAATTAATATTGATGCATTGTATATTGAACGTTTGCTAGGTGCCCTTACCTCACATGAAAAGGTAACCATGGAAGGTGTTGAATATGTTAATTTGGTTAACTATAGTAACGATTTTACATTTTTATACTTGCATGTCTATATATCCTCTTTTACTTTCGTAGTAAAAATGAAGCAACAAATTTGTTCAAAGTTAAAATATTACTAAGTTACAAAACTGGATTAGAGTGCATGATTTCTTATTCTAATTCAATTTTTTTCATTTAACTGATTATTTGGGTGTAAATAACATAATGTATTTCATTGTCACAAGATAGTAGATTGGTCTGCAGAATCTTAAGAAAAATGTTTCAGATGGCCAAACATTGCTAATTATGTGAACTTGATGTACAATCTCTTCCTAAGTTGAAGAGGCTAAAAATTTTTTCCAGTATAAAATTGTTTCAGAAATGCCATTTCTTTTAAAAATAGCTTATTATTATATAAGAAGAACTGAAAGGTTAATGTGGGAACATTATTTGACTGTTCAGTTTGTTAAATTTTATTTGTATTTTACTAACATTTGTTCCTCCCATTTCAATGTTGCTTAGCTGTCCTTGATTCAGCTGTTACACCTGGCCCATATCATTCAAAGACTTTTCTTATGAGAGATGGGAAAAACACTCTGCCTTGTATATTTTATGAAATAGTGAGTATTTTAAAGGTTGCAAACCTATACCAGTAAATTTCTGTCAGTAATTTCCTAGTACATTAAGCATTTGGTTTTAGTTCTCATATTACAGTTGTTTATTTGTTTAACTATGGAAAACCTGCGGTGTGTCAGGCTTGTGCTGGGTGCAAAGAATATAAGTGGGGTAGAAGTGGTAAGTGGCTTCTTCTCTCAAAGCACTTGTGACTTCAGGTAGAAAGAGATGCATACATGTCACACTGTGGTATGATAAATGACATGGTAGCAGTGTAGGCAGGATGCTATAGAAGTAGATAGGTAGGAGGAGGCAGATCAGACATGTATCACCAAAGATAGTAATCTGTATTCTCTGGGATATTTATGGACTAGTAAAAGTCAGGTAAACCACAGTGTGTTAGGAAGGTAAGAGTGCGTTTTAAGATAAAGCACCATGTATGAAGATGTGAAGCTAAAGAATCTGACTTGTTCAGGTATCTGCAAGTAGTATGTGATTGCTAAAGTACAGAGTTAGTAAGTAATGGGGTTAATGCAGTCTTGGGCTGGAACATAAATAAGAGACCTGGTGACAAAGAAGGATGGAGATTGCAGAGAATGCAGAGACCTTATAAGACATGACACTTGGTCCAAGAGTTTGTCCTTAAATTTTTGAAGTTTTATTTTTTTTATTAAAAGTGAAAGACAGTATGAAACCAAAAATGAATAGAAGAAAATAATAAAGATCAGACAGTGCAATCTCTTATCAAACTGTCAACATCATTTTTCATATAGATGACCATTTTGTTTCTTACATTTCTGTAAAAATAAAAAAAGAATCAGAATAGTCCAAACAACTATGATATAAGAACACAATTAGAGCTCCACCCCTCCCCAGTCCCATGACTTACCACAAAGTTACACCAATCATGAAAAAACAGCATTGATATCAAGATAGACAAACCACTGAAGTACCAATATCAAGTCCCAAAGATACCCACATATCAGACATTTGATTTCTGGCAAAGATAAAAAAGCAGTTAAGTGGAGAAAAGATAGTACCCTCAATAAATATACTGAAACAACTGGATATGTGCATGCAAAAAACCCAAACTTTATAGCACATCAAAAATTTCTGAAAACATCCGAAAGTCAACTCAAAATGGCTCACAGTGAGTTAGTTAAAGTGAAGGCAGATGTGGCCTGAGTCATTGTGTGGCTGAAGTCATTCTCTGGGACAAAAATACATGTTTTTTCCTTATCATGCTAATGAAACAATGCAATGATTATGCATGCATGACATATTTATTTCACTAATAAGTATGCTTTCAAGGTATATCCATTTAACTATAAAAATATCCAGCTTATCATTCTTACATGGCTGAATAGTATTCCATTATATAGAAATACCACATCTTATTTATCCATTCTTAAGTCAGTGGGCATTTAGGTTGTTTCTAAGGTCCGGCTATTACAAACTGTGCTGCTACAGAAATGGGTGCACATATATCTTTGTAGTATGATGTTTTTAATTCTTTCGGGAAAATACCCAGAAGAGGAATAGCTGGGTCGAATGGGACCTCCAATCCTAGTTTTTTGAGGAATCTTCACACTGATTACCACAGTGGTTGTACCAGTAAGCATTCCAACCAACAGTAGAGAATATTTCCTTTTCCTCCACAGCCCCTCCAGAATTTTTTATTGGTTGGTTTCTTAATACTAGCCATTCTTTCTGGGGTGAGGTGAAATTTTGGTGTTGTTTTAATTTGCATCTCTCAAATGGCCAGTGCTGTTGAACATTTTTTCACGTGTTTATTCGCTGTTTGTACTTCTTCATCTGAGATGCGTGTGTTCATCTCAGATGCCCATTTTTGGATTGAGTCTTTAAATCTGGAAGGACTGATTCTTTTTGAGTTCTTTATATGTTCTGGATAATAATCCTTTATCTGAGGAACAGCTGCAAACATTTTCTCCCACATAGTAGGTTGTCTCTTCTCACTCTGTTGGTTTCTCTTGCTGTGCAAAAGCTTTTCAGTAGTATGAGACCCCATTTGTTGATTGCTTGCAATAAGTCCTGTGTACTCTGGTCTTTGCCTATACCAGTGTCTTCAAGAGTTTTACCTACTGTCTTCCCGCAGATTTAATGTTTCTGTTTTAGTATTAACATCTTTAATCCATTCTGATTTTAGCTTAGTACATGGTGAAAGATATGGGTCTAGTTTTAATCTTAGGCATGTGGAAAGCCAGTTTTTCCAACACCATTTTTTTTTTTTTTGGTCTTTTTCGTTTTTATCGGTACCAGGGATCGAACTCATGACCACCTGCTTGCAAGGCAGGAACTTATGCCACTGAGCTAAACCACCAGCCCCTCCAACACCATTTTTAATTTTGAAATTGACCTCATTTCTGAAATCAGGAGAGACTTGGCTTCCAGGATTTATCATTTACTAGCTTGACCTAATAAGTTATTAGAAGTATGTGAACTTCATTTAAAAAGATGTAAAAAGGGAAGATGAGTTCCTACTTTGAAAAGTTGTGGCAATTAAATGATATAAATGTATAGTACCTGACTTACTATAGTGATAAAAACAGTACTTTTCATGTTAATTTCTATAATATATGGAATATTCTAGTTTGCATTTTAAAAGCTGTTATTGAAGTATGCAGTACAGAAATGTGCACAAATCATAACTGTACAGCTCTGTGAATAATCATAAAGTAGATGCTACCTAGATTATAATAAGTAAAACATTGTCATCACCCTAAACCTCCTGTATTATCTCCTACTATTAACTACCTCCTGAATCTTACCTGAAAGTAACTACTATCTCGGCTGGGTTTTTTTTTTTTTTTTTTTTTTTTGAGATAGGGTCTCACTATATTGTTCAGGCTGGCCTTGAACTCACTAGGTAGCCCAGGTTGGCCTTGAATTCACAGTGATCACCTGCCTCAGCCTCCCAATTGCAGGGATTACTGGTGTGCACCACTATGCCCAATGTATCATGACTTTTAATGTTATAAATTATCTTCTTTTAAACTATATATAAATATAGGGTGTATCTTTTTAAAATGTCTAGTTTCTTTCATTCAACACAGTGTTTGTAGGGTTCATTTATATTGTTGAATGTAGCTATAGTTCATTCATTTATATTGCTATGTATTATATTTTGTTGTATGAATATACCATGATGTAGCTTTCCATTTTCCTGTTGATGGGTACTGTGTTGTCTTCAGACTTACTGCTATTATGAATAATACTGTGCAAATATTCAGGTATATATTTTTTAGGCATGTGTATGCAATTCTGTGGGTTACATGCTTAGAAGAGCTGAATCATAGAGCATGTGTATGTCCTAATATAGTATTTTTCAAAAGATCATATCACTTTACACACTGACAAGCAGTGTAGAAGAGTTGTGCTTTTTCTGCATTCTTACTAGTGCTTGCTTAGCTTAGTGAGCCTTTTTTTCTAGTGGGTAAGTTTTAGTGCTTTCTCATTTCTCTGTGATTCCCTAGTGAGCAGTGAAGTTGAGCACCTTTTCATTTGTTTATTGGCCATTTTAGATACCTTTTTTTTGTGAAGTCTGTTCAGGTTTGTAACTCTTTAGAATTACTTATCTTTCCCTTATTGATATAAGGGAGGTTAAGAAAAACTGTTCTTGGTAGAATTTCTTTTTTGTGTTTATTATAAATATTTTCTCATATTTTCATTCTTAATGGTGGCTTTTGTGAAAAGAAATTCTGCATTCCCCACATAATTAATGCTTCTTACTGACCTTTTATTGAAAACGATTTCAGGGTGGCTTAATTTTATTTATGATTCAGAGATTTAGAGTTTGCTTTTTTAGTTTTTGTTTTTCTCCTGATTACTTGCCTTAAAAGCCTAGTCCTTTTGGGTCCTAGCCCTTAACCTGGAGTGGGGTAGGCATGGTTACTACAACTTCTTTCCTGGGAGCTTCAAAGTCAGTTTTTGGTTCTCCCAGCTCCGAGTCTGTCAGAAGTTCTGCTCAGTTTCTTAGGCTTTTAAATGGCTTTTTGTAATTGGCAGCTGTCTCAGAAGGGGAAGAGCCTTGATATGTCTCAGATACCTTTGAGGAGATTTTTAGTGAAATACTTTATCCAGCTAGTTGTTTTCATCTGGAGAGTTGAACTAAACCAGCTATACTGCCATCTATTAAAAATGGAACTCTAGCAATAGGGGTAGATAATGGGAAATTATTGCAGATTTTAAGGAGCAACATCTTGCTAGCTTGTAAGAAGTCCTATCCAAGATCAGTCTTTCTTCTGTGACAGGGCATCCCTATATATCTAGATACCACAGTCTTATGAGCAATAGGTTTTTGGTGAAGGAATTATAAACCTTAGGGTTCTGCCCATCTGTTTGACTGTATTATTAGTTAAAAATTGAAACTTAGGTGAATTAATAATTTTTAATATTTGTGTTTTGCAAAACAGGATCGTGAACTTCCAAGACTGATTAGAGGCCAAGTTCATAGATGTGTTGGAAATTATGATCCAAAAAGGAAGATTTTCAGATGTGTTTCTGTCAGACCAGCATCTGTTTATGAACAAAAAACTTTTCAAGCATTTGTTAAAATTGTAGATGCTGAGATGAGGTATTATACTAAAGTAATGAATGAAACTTAAGTAGCAATAAAGTGAGGGTTAAATAGTAAAAACTGAAGCATTTTGTTACTGTTTAATTTACTATTTTCATGGTTTTATAACAGTTGTTCCTCTGTATTTTGCTTCTTGAGTTAAAGTATTTAAATCATTTTATATGTGAAAAGTGTTTGAAAAATAATTTTTATTGTTTTTATTAAAATTGTGCATTTGGTAAAATTCAGTAGCCATTTTGAATAACAATGCTTGATATAAGGGAAATAGATATTCTCTAACATGGGATAACAATACATTGAG